CTAACTTCACTCTCTACTCCACCCTCCTCTGTGCATAAAGATTAGCCAGTAATTATCACCTATTTTATTTTATTATTTACTTAAAAAATATTTTATTGATCTTTCACAGAGAAGAAGAGAGAGGGATAGAGAATTAGAAACATCGATGAGAGAGAATCATCGATCAGCTGTCTCTTGCACACCCCCCACCGGGGATGTGCCCGCAACCAAGGTACATGCCTTTGACTGGAATCAAACCCGGGAATCTTCAGTCCACAAGCTGATGCTCCATCTGCTGAGCCAAACCGGTTTCGGCTTATCATCTATTTTAGAGCTCAGATTTTTTGTTTGGTTTTGTTTTAGACCAATGATGGAAAATGCTATAATTTATTTATAAAATAAATTATTTACACATGCCTCCCAAGATTGGAATTCTTTTAGAAGTTATCTTCTTCAGCTTTTCACATCGGGAATTTCGGAACAGCTATACTTCAGAGTTTGCCTATTTTGGGAATTCAATTTTACCATATATTTTAACTATAAAATTTTCCCAAGCATTGAAATGTGACCAAAGCTAATAAAACCCACACCTGCTGGCTGCATCCTGTACATATTCCCTCTTTTATTTTACGTATCTTTTATTAGCATTAATGTTGGGCCATGGTTGGGCAGTAGATACAATGGAATGAAACTACAATGTGATACGGTCTGAGAAAAAGCTTGCATCAAAAAGCCAATGTACCTAAATTTGGGAACTCATAATTTTATTATCTGGCTCCAGCCTTCCTGTCTTGTATTTCACCTAAGTCATGCATATGGATTTGACTTGAATGCTATTGTTGCTCCTTCTTTTCTTGCCAGCCTGTCCCATTCCTTCCTATCTGCTACTGCCAAGTTATAGTCTCAAGTGCTCTATGAGGCTTTTTTCTCCTGATAAATTGCAGAATTGGGTGTAAGTCCTACCCTGGCATGTACTTTTATCCTGTTTTATGATGCTTGCTTCATGGGTGTTAGTTTTGTTTCTCTAGGTACTTTTAGGCTTCTGAAACCTTAAATTCAATGAAATAATTTGACTTCAGCTTATTCTTCCTTAACTTATTAAGTTACTTCAACTAATATGGATTTCAAACAAATAGTTTTCAATATTTCAGCTCAAAACCTTTGCTCATTAAATTAGACCAATCTCTTGCAAGCCCTTGTTAAGAGAGCCTGGGAGGCATTCACAGGCTCTTTGGGTACTGGGATCTATTGAACACCACATAGTTTCATGTATTGTAGGCAAAACCATTTTCCTTAGAGCACCTCTAACACCCACAGGCATTATATTTGCCCCCAATGGGAAAACGTTCTTTACTTCAAATTACTGATATATCGCTTTTAAATCTGGCCCATTAAGGACCATCAGCATAATCCTGGTGAAATCATATATATGAACATCAACGGCCTTTATATCCTAATAAACTTCATTCAATCTTACCAATCTCTAAAAATAACATGAAGTAAGCCACATGTAGACACACTTGAATGGCTTCAAATTTATGCCTCGTAGTAAAGTCAGCAGGGCTTCCTGAACTAAATGTAGTATTGTTTTCCCCCAAAGACACATGCAGAAAGGGCTCCCTTAGGGCTTTGTCTATGGATGAGAATAGGCTCTAAGGGGACTTCCTTAGAAGGCCCACTGATGAAGGACAAGAGACCGTAGGGAAGACACATATCACGAGGGTGGGATAAAGGGAACACAATTGTATTTCAGTCTGAGGCAAAGTACAGAAACAATAAGCACGAACCCTACAACAGTTAGACCAGATGCTAGATGTGAATCCCAGATTGGTGCTGTGATTCCAGAATAAAATGCAACTCGGCCCAAAGGTACTTTTCTTGAGCAAGATGCCAAAATGGTGTTCTTAAGTATAATTAACAGAATGTTCTTTTCTGGTAGATTTATTTCACCAACTATCACTCATAAGTAGCTCAAGTATAAAAATGATTTTTCCAACTAAGTGAAAGTCAAAATGTAAATGAAAATGAAAGAACAAGTCCCTCCCCAGTTACCCTCCTTCAAGTTCTCCCCATCTCTTGACCCATTTTCCTGATCTGGCATGGAAGGCTCTCCACAGCCTAGCTGCCACCTCTCTCTGCTGCCTCTGCTTCGGTCCACTTTTCACCTCTCACACTGGTCAAATGGCGTATTGCTCACTGCCCACAACCATGCCACGCTTGCTTCTGCACTGACAGTGCTGTTCTCTGACATTCCTTTCCCCTGAGACAGTCACCTCGCTAGGCCTTCCTACTGATCCTTAAGGATCAGCCAGGTGCCACCTTCTTCGGGAAGATTTTCCTAAGTTCTCCAGACCAGTGGTCGGCAACCCGCAGCTCGTGAGCCACATGCGGCTCGTTGGGCCCTTGGGTGTGGCTCTTCCACAAAATACCACGGCCTGGGTGAGTCTATTTTGAAGAATTGGCATTAGAAGAAGTTTAAGTTTAAAAAATTTGGCTCTCAAAAGAAATTTCAATCATTGTACTGTTGATATTTGGCTCTGTTGACTAATGAGTTTGCCGACCACTGCCCTAGACTTTGTGAAGTGCCACCCACTCCAGGTTCCCATAGCACGCTGGGCATACTTCTACCAGAGCTCTCACCACTCTGTGTAGTATAATCTGTTATTAACTGCCTACCCTCTGCCCTACCCCAACCTCTAGCTTCTCAAGAGCAGGTACCATGTTGATTGATTTGTAGTCACAATACTAAGCACACCGCTGAGATATGAAAACACAAATCCTTAACAAACAAATCACATGGAAAATGTCAGTAGAGCCCTGACAGGTGTTGCTAAGTGGCTAGAGCATCAGCCCATGTACCAAAGGGTCACGGCTTCAATTCCTAGTCAAGGGCACATACCTGGGTTGCAGACTTGATCTCCTGCAGGCTTGTCTGGGAGGCAATCAATGGATATGTCTCTCTTACATCGATGTTTCTCTCTCTCCCCCCTCCCTCCCTTCCACTTTCTCTTAAAAAAAAATATTCAGATGAGGATTAAAAAGAATTATAAAAAAAGAGAAACTGTCACTGGAATAACTATTCTATAATACTTCTGATTATAGCTAATGGTGCACTATGAGTTCTGAGGAGAACCTGATTCAGAAAAGGAACACAATGAACATTTAGAAATTGGATGCTTTTCAATGTATTTCCTGTGTACTACACAGCCCATTTTTTTTTTTATAAAATGGAATAAAAAGCAGGAAACTGAAGAGATATTCCTTCCAAGTCCTGTAAGCCCAAGTCCACTATTATAAAGTCCAATTTAAATGAATTTTCTTTTTTACTTTTTCTTGAAAATATATTATAGTGAAAAAGGCTCTGTCTCAGTTAATCTTGTTAAGAAAACAGAACCAAGTTCATCATTTCTAAAATATATGCTTATTTTGGCTAACTCAAACCCTTTAAGAACATCAGCAGTTGCAAAATTTTCCATATTATAGCTCAAAATAGAAAATTTGAAAGAAAAAAATGCTTGTGGAAAAGTGTTATTTTTGCAGAATTGTACTAGAGTTTAATATGCAGCAGCCATCTATAATGAAATAGATGCTTCCTGCTGACAGAGCCAAAACGGGCTCTTTTGCATCGTCATAGTCCGTATCCAATTCCATCCAATCCATTGATGACAGTGAAAGATACAGGAGGTGAAATTTATTAACAAAGTCTCCAATGCTGGAGTTTCAGCCCTTACCTATGCTGATCTTTTTCAACACAGAGAAACTTCACTGAGCGATGCAATATTCTCTCTGAAAAAATTCCTGATTATGTTCCTCTGAAAATTTTTCTATATTCCTTGGTGAACTACAACTCAAGATGGCCAGTTGCTTTTCTTTTTAAACTTGAAGCACAGACAATTTACCAAACAGTGTTTTGGAGTTTGAAGAGAGATTGATTTCCCACAGAGAGTAAAATTTAGCCAGGACCATTTAGCATATTGGCTTTGTTAAGAAAAATGCTTGGCTGTATTCACTTAATAATCTCCTCGATTTTTGATTTGTTTGACATGCCTAAATTTGGTGATTCAGCCATGTAAAACTAAACATAAAAAACCTTACTGTAGTCCAGCTGGCGTGGTACAGTGGTTGATTGTTGACCCGTGAACCAGGAGGTCAAGGTTTGATGCCCGTGTTTTGGACACAATTCCCAGTAGGGGGCATGCAGGAAGCAGCCGAAAAATGATTCTCTCTCATCATTGATGTTTCTGTCTCTCTCTCCCTGTCCATTCCTCTCTCTGAAATCAATAAAAATACATTAAAAAAACAAATAAACAAAAAACCTTACTGCATTTCTAGAAATGTCTAAGGCCTTTATATTTCTTATAATAATAAAATGAACTGACAAAATGTTGTGTAATTTAGATTTATAAAAGAATCACAAAACTACATAGCAATATAAACAACCTGGTGGCAATGTATAATGAAGGATATCAAGAAAAGTTGTTTATTATACAATGATGCTAATATTATTTATTTCTTTTTTCAAAAATCTTTTCTCATCTATTAGAAAAAAACAACAACCCGAAAGCAAAGGATTACTATATCTGGGACTCATCTCTAGTTACTTTAAGCATTAACTATTACACACTTCCCCTTGCATCTATCTCATGGCTTTTATTTCCTTGCCCTCCCTTTTCAGCATGCCAGCTAAGTTCTTCTTACTTCAAATGTAGTTTACCTCATGCATGCTCCAAGTATCACTTGTCCACAGACTTTCTTCTCTAAATTTGAGCATTTAATATCAACATCTGGTACTACTGTACTTCTATTTTTCAATGTTCCCAGCTATATGTGAGCTTACAAGACCATCTTGTTAGCTCTTGTATCCTCACCAGTAATTCGCATATTTGCAAAATATGACTTTAGAGGTATCAAGTGCTGTGAAAGCCAAAGAGTGAAATGCAAATTAGACCCTCCCTAAGGACACAGAGGGATGATGACTTTTGCACTCTCAGAATTCACCTGTAATAGCACAGGCGGCTTACCTTGTGTTTGGCTTTAGATTTTCTACTGTGGAGAAGGTTTGATTTGTAATTTGGATGGACTTGTTCTTCCCACTGAATGACCCATTTTCTCTGGATATAACTTCATATTCTGTAGAGCAAAAAAGCCAACAGATACTCATCTTTATTTTCTGGCTGAATTAAATGTTCTAGATGCTAATAGCATAATAAAAATAATCAACTCAGATTGCATGATCTTATACATTACATGTTGACATTATACATTATGGATATATTATGCATACATCTTATACATTTTCAATTTCCAGATTGGGATGGTCAGCAGATGACAAAGGCCCCAAAGCATTTGGGGAGTTGCTCATGGACCATTTCTGCTTTCCCTTTAGCAGAGCAGGGAAGGCCTGGCAACTGTGAAATCAATGACATTCTTATGGTAGCTTTGGAAACTGGTACCTATAATTTTGTGAGGCAAGTCAGCCAGCCTGCCATTGGAGAGCACTGTAGAGTGGCGTGTATGTAGGAGCCCTGAAAAGGCCACTGACTACATGGTGCTGCTGCCAAAAACTCAGCTGGGTCTCAAACCATAGCAGCAAATGACAGCTAACCAAACAATGAACTATACTTTCCTATCATTCATTATTCTGATTTAGAGAGAGGCCCAGTGCACAAATTCATGCACAGGTGAGGTCCTGAGAGGTGTGGAGGAGGCGGGGATGTGATTGGCCTTCCGAGTGGGTGGTGGGATGCCCTTGACAGCCTGGGATCTAAATCTATCCCACTGATGTTCGCACCCATTGTTGGGAGCCTCCTGGCAGTAGTTTTTTTTTTTTTTTTTTTTTTTTTTTTTTAATATATTTTATTGATTTTGTACAGATAGGAAGGGAGAGAGATAGAGAGTTAGAAACATCAATGAGAGAGAGTCATCGATCAGCTGCCTCTTGCATACCCCCTACTGGGGATATGCCTGCAACCAAGACACATGCCCTTGACCGGAATCGAATCTGGGACCTTTCAGTCCCCAAGCCGACGCTCTATCCATTGAGCCAAACCGGTTTCGGCTGGCAATAGTTTTTATATCCTTTCTTCCTTGCGGTGCCCGAGGCCAGCTTCCAGGAGGCCATTGGCGTTGTTGGGATCGTGCTGGCGACTCTGGTCTTTGGTGCCTGGCCTGTTCTTCAGAGATTGGATCTGCAGGACTACTGAGGGAGTGAGTGAGTGGCTGCCGCAGGTCTGGTAGGCCGCTGGGATGGGTTGGTCAGCTAAGCAGCATTCTGGCTATGGGAGTGCAATGACCACCAGGGGGCAGATCCTGCATTGAGCATCTGCCTTCTGGTGGTCAGTGCACATCATAGCGACTGGTCGTTCCAGTGGTTCTGGTCATTCGGTGATATGATCGCTCAGGCTTTTCTATATATAAATGGGAATTTTGCACCTACATCTTACATAAGTTATTACGTTTTGTACATACTACTCATCTATTCTTTTTTGACAGTTATCTTTGTATTTGTAAAAAGAAGCTATTCCTTAAAGTCTGAACAGAGAGCCACATAAATTTCACTTAAAGGCATATTTCTATGAGCTTGCAGGGCTAATGAAAACAGAATTTCAGAATCTGAAATATAATTTACAAACTTGTTAAATGGTTTTCCCTGTTCTCGGTTGGGTTTATAACACATATGAAAAGGTCATACAGAGGATTTAAAAATAACCAACAAAAACAAAAAAACAAAAAACAAAACCCCATTCAAAATCAGCTCCATCGGTATGAAGAAATACACAAGTGGTGGGTGTTGGGGAAAGCAGGAGGCTGTGAAGGAGCTGGCGAGTTCCTGAGGATTCTTGTATTGGCACTGACACTGAAGGTAGGAAACCACGAAGTAACTCAGGAGACTTAAAATCACCAATTTTCTTTTGGGAGGGATTTTCATGCTATATTTCAAAATTCTAAAAAGAGGCATGACTCTATGAATAATTTCCTTTGGCTATCTTTCCAAAAGTTCAATAGTAAACTGGAAGGCAACGCCACTGTGTCTGGACACATCAGTGCAACTATTACAGGACCAATGGTTGGTGTTTAGTATTCCTTCCTCAGACTCTTGTTCCCAAGCATTTTTGGTTTTGTTTTGTTTTGTTGTTTTCCAACTCTTTTTGTTCCCAGTTCTTTTGGTTTTCTATTCTAACAGAGGGTGGAGAGAGAGGGAGAAAGGGGAAGGACCCTGAATTCAATAAGCCCTTTTTAATGTCTTTCCTCAGCTGTGGAGGGATATTTACTAGAAACATGTCCTAGTAATTAAATGGGAGTAAACATGATTTTTAAAAAATGGAAACTGCTTGATGGGGAGAGACAGACCAAGCCAATTGCCTTGATCTTAGTCCCAGTTTTCCCATTTGTAAAACGTCAATAATGTCTCTTCATAGTGCTGCTTGTGGAATTAAGTTAGAAACATATATAGCCAGTGCTTATTTGCTCAACATGTGGCACCTATTATTGTTGCTGCTTTTATTATCCCATATTACTTGTGTTTTGAAAATAGGGTCACAAAAATTTGAAAGATTCCATTTGAAAAGATTGAAGTATAATTTAGTTACCAAAAGAACAATTTATATAACATTCCAACTGGTTATGCATAAAACCTACTACCTTCAAAAGACATCTTTGGTTTGGAACATTCGTTGACTATATGTTACCCTTTTAATATTACCCCAGCCCTTAAAACCTGAAACTCTTATTGTTTATCTTCTCTAGTTTTCTTTTGACTCAAAATTTAAGGGATCTATCTATATAAAAGGCTAATATGCCAAGAGTCCCACCGTCTGGGTAATGACATCAAGTAGCAACACCTGGCTTCCTCTTCCTAGTGATGACTAGCCTCAGGTGGAAACATTTTAGACTTTAACCAAATGTCTGTGAAGTGTTTTCCCTTGCCTCATCTGAAGTAGGTAGAAAGGAGACTTGATGGAATCCTATTTTCTTTTCATTAGCCAAAAAATAGAGATTTAGAAACTTGACTCGACTGAAAAGAAGTAAGAAATGTTGGACCTTGAAAAGACTTCAGGTTTTCTCACTGTGCAGGATATAATCAAACACTGCTGCAGGTAAATATTTTACCCTTTGTTCTCCCTGTGTGAAGCATAATAATAATGTGCTTCGTGTTGATAGTTACTGCTGTGTCCCTGACAATTATCTGAAAGAGAAGTTGGGGTGCTTCAATGGGCAGGAGAAAGTTTAGCTATATCAGAAAGCAGGTCTAATTAATCAAGTTTATTCTATATCTATAAAAGGCTAGGTTGACTCATGTATAAGCAATACATTAAAGCTCTCACTGATGCAAATCACATGAGTGTGTTTTGATCTGCCATTGTTGATGGTGAATTTGGTTGTTTTTGTTGACACTCTAAAGCTGAAAAAAAGCAGCAGAATCACACAGAAGTAACAATGGTGATTAAATATGATCATAATAGTGATCTGGGTAGATATAATTCTCCCTCTGTAACTGAAGTTGCCATCATATTCAGAAATGAAGATGGAGGACCTCCTTTAGAAAGGGATTTCCTCATTCATTGTAAACTAGATCCCAATAATATGAATGCCACTAAAATGAAACAAATCAGTATCCTGTTTCATACATTAGATGCAATGACATATCCTATTCTTTTTCCACATGGTGAAAAAAGGCTGGGGAATAAATATTGCATTAAGACTCAGATACAACAGTGTAATTGACAATAATACAAAATTCAATGGATCATGCCGAAAAGAAAAATTTTCTCATCAAATTTCTTAATAGTATTATTTCTTCGGGAATGCCGTGTCATAAATTAGAATTGAAAGTAGGTGCAATCACCATGCTATTGAGAAATCTTAATAATAAATGGGGTCTTTGTAATGGTACTAGATTTATTATCAAAAGATTGTGATTTAACATAGTCAAAGCCAAAGTATTAACAGGTTCTGCAGAAGAGAAGTTGTTCTGATTCCAATAATAAGTTTGTCCCCATCAGACACTGGCCTTAGTGTTAGAATAAGTTTAATCAGCTGATACTGGTTTGGCTCAGTGGTAGAGCATCAGTCTGTGGACTGAAAGGTCTCAGGTTTAATGCCGGTCAAGGGCATGTGCGTTGGTTGCGGGCACATCCCCGGTGGGGGGTGTGCAGGAGGCAGCTGATAGATGTTTCTCTCTCATTGACGTTTCTAGCTCTCTATCTCTTTCCCTTCCTCTCTGTAAAAAATCAATAATAAAAAAAAGAATAAGTTTAATCAATTTATCAATCATTGTTTTCATCAATGTTGTTTTTATATCATGTTTTTCTTTTTATATCATGTCTTTGTTGTTGTTAGATCATGTTGTTATTGTTTATTTATTAATCAATTTATATTTTTCATATACCTGTTACTAATTTTCTTTCATCTTTGACACTTCTAATACAAAGAAAGGGTGAATTGTAATATTAAAATATTTCTTTTAATTAATTTCCTTTCAATGTGCATGAATTTGTGCACCAGGCCACTAGTGATTTAATACCATTTTAGTCCTAAAAGTCTGTAGTTTTCAAAATGAATCTAGAAATTACATTAATAATTAAATAGAGCCGAAGCCAGTTTGGCTCAGTGGTAGACTGTCGGTCTGCGGTCTGAAAGGTCCCAGGTTCGATTCCGGTCAAGGGGCATGTACATTGGTTATGGGCACATCCCCGGTAGGGGGTGTGCAAGAGGCAGCTGGTCGATGTTTCTCTCTCATCGACGTTTCTAGCTCTCTATCTCTCTCCCTTCCTCTCTGTAAAAAATCAATAAAATATATTAAAAAAAATAATAATTAAATAGAACTCTAAGAATTCTCGCTTTTTGAATGTATATTTTGGGGCTTTGTAAATATATCTTTTATTTTTAATATTTTAGGTGATAATAGCTTTTAATAAATCCACCAACATTATAAAAATGGAATGTTAATTTTGGAATGAATATTTATAGACACACTCTGAGTATATTTCCGAAGGTAAAGACAGTCTCTTAAATTTATGCCCATATTTCTTCTTTTCAAATATGAGGTTTTGTTTATAATTTCATTATTAATAAAGACATAAGAAAATCTGTAAAGAACTAACTCTGAATAATTGATCTATTTTTCCCTCTTCAAATTGTTTTATTGCCCTATTATGAAAAAAATGTACCTAGTAGAAAAAGTTATTTATTATAAAGTTTGGGAATACCACTCTAGTCAATAGAGCATAAAAACAGTAATGGTGATACTATTTCTCCCTGTCTTACTACTTTGACCACTGACAAACATTAATTTAACAGCTGCTGACTTATGCTGGGCATTCATTCTGTTTAATTTTATCCTCAGGATAAACCGATAATGATGAGTGTCATTACAAATAAGGAAGCTAAAGTTCAAAGAGGCTAACTATATACCCAAGTTCCATGTTTAGAACACAGCTGGTCTGGAATTTAAATGGATGTCAGCACACTCTTGGCATATCACAAAGCAACACCTTATAACTAACTTAACTTTAAGTTACCAAGGACCCCAGCAGTGTGTGGCCAACTTCTTAGGTCACCTATTTTTATATTAGTGTTGAAGGGACATGTAGAAGCAACTGAATTTGAATGTATTTACTAGAGGTGAATATGCACGTGTCTGTCAATTAAAAGAAAGATTATTGACAGAAGCCAACACATGTAATAAAGAATGTGTTTCACTCTCTTTCTGTTCTCTTTCTCAATCTTTTCCTTTCATATCATTTTCAGTGATAGGAGAATTAATTTCTATAAGATCTGAACTGCTGGTTTGTTTGAAAGCAAGATTGCATTTAAATTAACAATTTAAAAATAAACAGAATTGAAAAAAAAATAGAACAGACCATTAGGGTATACCATCTGTCCAACATTTAAATACAGGCCAGATGAGTAATGGTTAAATATGGAACTATTTTTTATGTAGAAAATATTATAGCTAATGAGATGTGGTCCTTACCCATGAAACCTGTTATTTAAGTCTGTTATCTTATGAAAGATTTCAAACAGCCCATTAATATTTGGTAATAGTGTTCCAAAAGTAATTGGTTAGAATACTTTGAGATTATTAGCTTATATCATTTATAAAAAAATGTTACATAATGAACCAGAAAGAAAATAATTCTCTTAAAAAAACAAGATATAATTGATATACACAAGTGAATATGTATTAGATGTATTAGGTCAGTGATTTTTGACATTTTTCATCAGATGGCACATATAAACTAATTACTAAAATTCGGTAGCACACCAAAAATATATATTTCTTTACCAATCTGACAAAAACAGGTACAATTTTGATTTATTAAAAAATGCTAATTACCTACTCTTATTATGTGATGTGACTAATAAGATGAAACTCTTATTATGACCTATGTACTTATGATTCAAGACAGGGCCTTCACACTGGATGGCTGTTGTGTTAGCTGTTGTCATTTTTTAATTGGACAATCTTGGGGGAAAGATGTCAGTGCTCCTGACTGCATGTTTTTAAAATTGTTGTGGCACATTAGATGAAAATTGTTCTATTAGATTATTAGGCCTAGTAGACTAACCACTTCCAGCTTGATGTCCCACATCTTTAAGGCAAATTAAATTTTATAGGTCATTTGGTTTTGTGAGAATTAAACCTCAGACTACCACAGGAACTTCTTATTAGCACAGTATATGGATTGAAAGCTTTGAACTTTTTAATACATGTAGATAATCAATACTTAGAGATTGATTTATTTTTTGATGCTGATTTAGATATTGACTTAGCACCAATGGGCACAGTCCCAAGTAAAGAAGCAGGACTAGGCAAGTCCCCAGGAGCCATGGGTAGTGGCTGGTTTGCTCTCAATACAAAGGTAAGCTTTGCATGAGAAACAAAATTTACAAAATATGGTTTTTAAAAAAGTCAGCTAAGTAAAGAAGAACAAAAGTCAGCTAAGTAAAGAAGAACACAGCAGGTATATCTCCTCAGACAAACTGGGAAACTCCAGTGTAAGTACACTGGAGTTTCCCAGTTTGTCTGAGGAGATATACCTGCTGTGTTCTTCTTTATTCATAGAAAACATTTTTGGCAGAGCCTGAAATGTGCACTCCCCACCCCTCTGTGTAGGGATTTCTACTCCCGACAATTTCTTAGTGAGCTCCCCGTGGCCTGTCCACCTGCCCCAGGCATCCGAACAGGGACACAGGGACGTGGGCAGCAGGAACCTTGCACACGCAGGCTGTACTCTCAAGCTGATCTTTTCAGCTCCTCTCCAGTTTGATTATTCTGTTAATTATGAAGAATTAAATTCCCATCTAACAAGTTCAAAGAATGACTCGGGATTTCTGAAGGAAATAGGTGGGTGGATAGCAGAATAAAAGTTTCAGGAGATAAGCAGAAAATTGACTGGAATAGAATTGTTAAAACATGTACCCTTAAATGATGGAAAAAACATTTTAGCTTGCTTGAAAGTTCTAGGTTTACCCAGAAACTGGGTTGGTGAAAGGAAAACTCATTTCAATATGATCATACGTCAGTGGCAACATCTCATATATTATCTGTAATTTTCTGGGTAATGAAAAATCTAGATAAATCTCCCCGTTAGGAAAGAGTTATAAGAGGAGACGAAAGGGTGCAACTTAGAGAGATCGGCTAAGGATGATGAACAGGGAGCCCACAGCCAGGACAAAGATGATCTTTTCCCATCACATGAACGTGCCGCAGGGACAGCAGAACTCGGCACGGACTCGCTGCTCCTGAGCGCGGACTCGCTGCTCCTGAGCGCGGACCCACAGGCTATCTGTGACGCAGGGTTCCGCAGCCCCTCTGCAGCACATTAGTAACAGTCCTATCCAGCTCTTACCAGTGACAGTGTCATTGAGTGGCTTTTCCCAGTCCAAGATGACAAATGAGGGGCATCCTTCCACGGTGACCACAGTGAGGTTGGAGGGTGGGTTCTGCGGCGGGCTGGTGGCATTCCCCTCTGTGGGCTCCTCTTTGGGGAACCGTTTGATGGAGTCAGTGATGGAGCAGGGCCTGTCGTCAGCTTTTGTAATGTATTTCACATGAGGCCCTAGAGAGGGAGAGAAGATTCTGACATTTAGCATTTTTTTGAGTAAAGTTGGCGGAAGGTGAACTAATAAATATAATTGCTTGAGGACATTTGGTCTCACATTAAGAGCAGCTAGAAGGAAGCAGTGAAGTGGATGGTTCAGAATTGTGAAAATCCTGTCTCTAGGATACATGATATGGATGTTTGTTAATTTACTTTCTTAGATAGTTTAGTGTGTGCTAATATCCAAAAGTAATTTGTCCCCCCTGAGCATGGTTTAAACCTCGTAATTTATGTGGCATGGGAAAAAAATATTCAAAAGGGTCTTGCCTCAGTTGTGGGCAATAACAAGCCCTACATTAGACACAATTCTGGTCCCACCTAATAAATATGGCAGCTAGGCTCAGAAAGATCAAGTGGTTTCAAATAATTTGCCTACACCCAGAACATATTTTAAGTATAAAAACATATCCAGAAACCAACAAGATGAAATTAACAGGAAAATATCTCCCATAATGAAGAGAAAAATAAATAATTTAAAAACCAACCTAGAACTTTCTAAGTGTTAGAATCATTAGACAAAAGCAATAAAGCAGTTATTACTACTACTAGAGGCCCAGTGCACAAAATTCGTGCACAGGCAGGGTCCCTAGGCCTGGCCAGAGATCAGGGCCAATCTGTGGGGTGACTGGTGGGGCAATTGGGGGGACCCACGCTGGCACCTGCCTTGGCTGGCCTGGGGCCTGAGGGCTGGGGGCAGCTCCTGCATTGAGCATCTGCCCCCTGGTGGTCAGTGTGCATCATAGTGACTGGTAGTTCTGCAGGTCAGTCTATTTGAATATTAAGTTTTTATTATCTATAATAATAATATGATAATTAAACTGGGCATCCTTTCAGATGACCTTCCAGATGAAGCTGGGGCTGTGAGGGAAGCCTGGGTCATGGGTGCCAGAGGGAAGCCAGTGCCGGCAGCTGGGGGAAGGAAGGCCAACTCTTGTATAAATTTTGTGCCTTGGGCCTCTAGTACAGGATAACCCACATGGTCAAAAGTTAAGACCTGAAAGATATAAGAGACCCACATCAATTTCATACCAAAGTAGAAATAAAAGGGAATGTTCTCAACCCAATAAAGGGCATTTATGAAAGCTCTACAGGTAACATGATATCTAGTGATGAAAGAATGAATGTTTTCCCCATAAGATCAGAAACAAGAAAAAGATGTCCATTCTCACTATATCTATTCAATATTTTTACTGAGGCTCCAGCCTGTACATTGAGGCAAGAGAATAGTTACTCAAAATGGAAAGGAAGAAGTAAAATTTTACTCTCGGTTAATACGATTCTGTATGTAAAAACCAATGTATTTATAAAAACTTGACTAAGTGAGAGAAACCAAGATGGCGTCATAGGTAAACACCTAAACTGCAGCCTTGCACAACAATTTTAAGACTACAACTAAAAGATAGAATGGACATCATCCAGAATCACAGGAAAGCTGGCTGAGTGGAAATTCTACAACTAGAAGGAAAGAGGAAAGCACACGGAGAATCAGAGGAGATGCAAAGGACTGAGGTATGGAGACATGAGCACAGAGAGGAAGGGCGGCTGAGTGCCTGACTGGCATTCTCTGGCAGGAGAGGAAGGGAAGCCCCCAACTGGACTGAATCCCAGTTCCGACTGCACTGAACCCAGCTTCAGCCGAAACACTGTGGACCCAGGCTTATATGGGGAGAGTCTGGACTGTCAGGTAAAGAGAAAGGCACATGGGTACTCGGGAAAGTAGCGGTGGGCAGGGGTCTGTAGATGCGTGCCTGAGTGTGCTCAGAGAAGACTGACGGCTGAGGTTGCCACTAGCTCTCCCTAGCGGAAGGGATTCAAAAGCTCCTGACTGCACTAAACCCCAGTTCCAACTTCACTGAACCCCAGTTCTGGGTGAGACTGGGGGAATCTGGACTGTCAGATGGAAACTCAGGGGAGCCGCAGAAGGCAGAGGTCTGGAGGCATGTGCGCAAGGGCAGGGCTGACAGGAAGCCAAGACTGTCTGCTCAGCCCTGAGACTGCCCCATCCAAGCTGAGCACAGAGGATTTTGCAATTTTGCAAGTCTTGTCCTATAAGGCTGTCTCCAGCACAGGTCTCCCGGTGTAGACACAGCTGATACACATAGCCAATTGGCCTGGAGGTCAATTCCTCCCAGTGATGCCAACAATAATCAAGACTTAACTACAGGTGAAACCAGTTTGGCTCATCAGTCTGCAGACTAAAAGGTCCCAAGTTTGATTCCGGTCAAGGGCATGTACATTGGTTGTGGGCACATCCCAAGTAGGGGGTGTGCCGGAGGTAGCTAGTCGATGTTTCTCTCTCATCGATGTTTCTAGCTTTCTGTCCCTCTCTCTTCCTCTCTGTAAAAAAGAAAAAAAAAAAAGAAAAAAAAAATATATATATATATATATTGATTACAGCAAGGCTGTACACACAGACCACAAAGGGGTGCACCAAGAATGTCCACTTCAGGTGACTGGGGAGGCTGACCTGACCCACTGGGCCATATAGAAAACCTAGCACACAAAGCTACCCTACCAACTCAGGGAAGCAGCAAAAATGCAGAGACAAAGTAACAAATCACAAATGAAAGAAATGGAGGAAAATAAACAACCGGATATAGATGGAAGATAAAGACATGGAAATATATTTGTTATTCTTAGTCATTAGGGGTATGCAAAGTGAAATTACAATCAGATACTACTACAAACCATTACAATGGCTGAAATGAAAAAGACTGACCACACCAAAGGTTGGCAAAGACCTGTGGAAACTGGAACTTTCATATGCTGCTGACAGAAGAGTAAAATAATACAACTACTGTGGCAAACTGTTAGACCACAGTAGTGGCCTAACAGTTTGCCAAGCAGTTGTATTATTTTTAAAAATTATATATATATGTACATATAATCTAGCCATTCCTCTTCTAGGAATTTATTAAAAAGGAATGAAAACATATGTCTACACAAACTTATGAATGGTCATAGAAGCTTTAATGGTAATATAAAAAAAAATAGAGATAACCCAAATGCCATAAATAGGATTAATTAAATTATTATATATCTATTAGAGGCCCCAGTGCACCAAATTCTTGCATGGGGGGGAAGGGTCTCTCAGCCCGGCCTTCATCCTCTCCTAATCCAGGACCCCTCAAGGGGATGTCAGGCCTAAATGGGCAGTCAGACATCTCTCTTGCAATCTGGGACACTGCATGTACCAGTGACCATACTTTTTATATAGGTGAAAGGCATCTTGCTGTTGTATGGGCAGCTACATTTTTTTGGCCTTGATTATAAAATGTAATACAAAACATGATCCTTCTGAGGCAGTAGTACCATTTCCCCCATCTTATGGGTGGAAAAACTGAAGCAGAAGAGAAGTTAAGTAATTGGCTTTGTTACACAGTTATAAGTGTCAGAATTGGGGCTGACCACAAAATATACAAGCCATTGTCCATGCACATCATCGCATCATCCTGTTTTTTTTCAGTGTATCCTTGCCAGGTTTTAATTTTTAAATCTAAGAGACTGTTCCCAATATATAGGGTAGGGTCCTCAGGCCTGGCTGGTGATGGGGGCCATCTGTGGGGCAATTGGCAGGTGGGTTTTTAGGGGAGATCCTTGCTGGCACCCTCCTTGGCTGGCTGGCCCATCCCCCAATCACCACCATTGGTCGCTTTCCTCTGGAGTGGGGTGACGGGGGCAGCTCCTGTGCTGAGTGTCTGCCCCCTGGTGGTCAGTGTGCATCATAGGTAGCCACCAGTTGTTCTGCTGGTCATTCCTCAATTTGTTTAATTTGCATATTAGGGTTTTATTATATAGAATACAATATAATACTAGGCAGTAATGAAAAGGGATATTAATAAAAGCAGCAACATGGATAAATAATTATGCTAAGTGAAAGAAACAAGACTTTAAAAAAAGAGTTCAGACATTGATATAAAATTCCACAAAATACATACTAACCTATAGTATAGCAGATTTGCTGTTACCTAGGGACTAGAGGTTGGGTGGAGGAGTGAGAGGGATTATAAACTTTTGTAAGTGGTATTCATTGTCTTGATTGTGATGGTGGCTTCATGGTATATACATATGTAAAAAGTTATCAAGTTATATACTTCAGGACAAAATATTACAAAAGGAAATACTGGGCTCTGTATCATATTATATCTCTCCTGTGTTAGATAAGATTGCTGTTCAAAAATATCCTCTATATCCAGGAAAGGCGTATACTTCGCAATTCTTGATGTGAGCATTGCTATGTGACTTTCTTTGGCCAATAGATATTGGCAGGTATAACACAAGAAGGAGCTTAAAATATGATGGTGTATTTGGATTCCCCCTCCCTTGACTTTGTGTAGTCCTGAGAATGGCTTCTTTTGAGTCAGTGTTGGTCCTTCATCCTAGAATGAACAGATGAGGAAAAGCCCATCCTAACCCACAAGAGGCCCAGCAGAACCACTCAGCCAAGAACATCCTACATTAACTGACCCCCATTTGTTAATATCATCATAAAGCTGACTTGTAAACATATGAGAAGTAAATCCTTATTATGGTATGCCACTGAGATGTTGTGGTGTCTATTACATAGCAACTTCTGACTGATACACCCACCTAACAGCCTTGTCAACATTAAGATTTGAAGCCAGACATACCTACGAATCTGGGTTTCCCAAGAGGATCAGTTTCTCTTGTTGGACTTGAGCTAAAGTCAGTCGTATCACCTGAGAAGGGAGTATAATAAACAATTTTGGCAAAAGATAAAGCTTCACAATACAATAAAAAGTAGTAAAGACTATAAATATTTAATATGCCTCCTAGTCAGTTATTCACAACTTTGATTTTCATTATTTTATTATTCACATCAACTGCAATAAATTGTGTCCTGCTTTAGGCATTCTACAGTGTAATAAATAAAGCTTAAAGTTTACAACCAAGAAGCTAATGCTTATTAATAAAATAAGGCATATGTAATTATAATGATGTGATTTAGTAAGAAACACTAGGTAATATATATTTCTCAGGAAGACTTCCCTGAAAAATTTAGATACTTTCCTCTATGTTTGTGAAGGGAAGGAGTATATTCTATGCTGAAGCATTAAAAATAAGTATTATGTTAAAATTAAAAAGAATCATATTGATGATTAGGTTAAGTAACAAAGATGATCCAGAGCCGAGACTCTTCCCCTCCTAATTTGAAATCCTTGAGTATCTTGTAGCTAGTCTCCAGGAGGATGTGACTGACATACTAACCAAGATCTTCTCCTGAGGCGGGAGCTGTTGGATCCTTTTTGTCTGACTCTGTTCTCTCTGAGGTGGGTCCAGTGGGCCTGAGTGTTGCCGGCAGGGGTGGGGATGTTCCTAGGCCTGATGAAATGATCCCTGAAATGTAGAGCCAAAGCATCAGGCTTTAGAAGAGCATTGCCCAGTTTCCCATTTATTTACTCAATGCATGTTTATTAGGCACCTTACCATGTAGCTTGGCACTATGTGCCAGGCTAATATCCTTGATCAAGAGGGACATATGAGCCAAATATTTGGAATCATTACTAATATTGTGAAAGAAGTGGCTAAAGTCACAGAGAGGGCAAGGGAAAGGAATAGTAATATCTACGAGGAAAGGTGAAGGGTTTTGTGGAGGGGGGAGGGAGGTAAGAATGCCTTCACAGAGGCTGTGATAATAAAGAAGCCATCAGTGGATAGGTACGAAAGCTGTATTTGAATCAGAGGTTGCAAGAAGAACCATGTCAGGGAAGCATGTAACCATTTGGTGTTTTTAATTTGAAGGGTGAGAGCCCACAGTGCTGAAGGGTGGCTGTGGTAACAGAGATAGGAGGGCAGGGAAGGCAGATCATGAAGAGCCATGCACTACGGATCTGCACAGTATGTTTAGGCAGCAAGGAGCCACTGGAAGGCTTTCAACCAGGAAACAACTGGATCAGAGAAGAGGATGAATAGTTAGGCTGCAAGGCTAGTGGCAGAGAGAGAAGAGAGGAGACAAAGCAGTTGTGCAGGCAGGGGCAGGCGAGGTGAACTGCCGCAGAAGCAGTGAGGCGGGATGGAGGGAATTAGACATGATTGATGTCAAGGAGATGGCATAGCCTGGTTGGGAGGTTAAATAGAAGGCATAGGAGACGGCTGAAGAAGAAGCAAATGCTTTTGAAGGTAACATCTGTGATTCTGGCCTAGTAGCCAGAACAGTACTACTATAAGCCAGTGTCTCCTCCACTAAAAACACCAATAAATCTTCCAAACCGGATCCATCCCCAGGTCTAGTCCAGTCTGGGTGCTTAGAGTAGGTTGGGGGCTACATTGGATTTTACAGTCCTCCTGGGAAAAGGGATCATTCTCAGACAATAAAGAGTCAAGAGCACAGCACTGACCCAAACATCATGGCCCAGCATGAAACCAGTACGAGTTCCAGCAACCCCAGCAGACTCATGCTCCTCCTGGTCATGGTGGGACCGGGCCACCATGAGATGGTGAGCAAAAACCAACAGAAGTTGCATGCAGCCTGCACTTTTACTTTGTCAAGGGGAGAGGGACTCTGAGGTCTCGGCAGCTCTGCACATAGGGGCAGTGGAGGATCTACACGGCAACCTCAGACAGTGCTCACAGGCACCCAGAACAGTTTGCTGGTTCCTGAAGACAGGGTGCACTTTCTGTAATCAGTCCAAAATTGTACAACTGCTCTTCTTGTGTTTGGCTCCTTCAGGTAGCCATTTCCTTTGAATGAGAGGTGGGTAGTACGAGGGGGATGAGGTGGGGAACCAGAGTTGACCTCAGAAATGGATGTGTTTGTGGTTCTTCTTCAGGTGGGTTCCCAAGCTTTCTATGGGGGACTCTCAGACATCACTTTCAGTCTGACTCATCCAATTTGACCCCAGGTTACAATTAATGAGGGGTCCCAGATGTCCTCACTGCAGCCATGCCCTGGGCCTTGACTCAGGAAGGCTCCAAAACGTGTGTGAGGAGCTAAGTCCTCCGTCAGCTCATGGAAACATGATCGAGAGGCCACTGTGCACAGGATACATCCATCAGAAAAGCTTCTCTATCACAGCACCCTACCGTTGTCCCAGGAAAAGAGTGACATCTATTCCCCTTCATGTAAACCCCTCACCCTTTCATCATTCATTAGCTGTCCAACATTATTATCTTGATTCCACCTAGAAAAGATTTAGGAAGTAGAGATGGCAGAGAGGAAGGAGAGGTGGGGAATATGCTGTGATTTGCTGGCAAGCCCAGTCAAAGAGAAATGAGGTATAGCTTTGCTCTGAACCAGTTCAACTTTCACTAATTCTTTATTCCACCCATTTATTCAGTCAGTGAAAATTTATCAAATATTCTGTAGGAGCCACACACAAGATTTAGTTCTGGGAATTCAGAGAAAATGTGCCAAGGACTCTGTTCCCACAGAATTCCTGGTCTAGTAGGGGAAGACAAGTGTGTAAACAAACAGGCATAACACAGTTTGATGTTTTCTCTAACAGAGGTGTGTATCAAGGGCAAGCAGAACAGAGAAGCAATGCTAAGACTGCTTTGGGGAGTTGGAAAAGGCTCTTCCTTAAGAAAAGAGTGAAGTGTGAGCATCCCAGGTGGCTTGGAGGGATCTTTCCATGGGAAGGAAGATAACACATGCGAAGGCATAGAGGTGAGAGGCAGCTTGACTTCAAAATTATACCCCTGCCTTGTGGCTTGGCCTAGAGCTGCTTATATTTTAGTCCCTCATCTTGTCTCTACTACCTAACACTGGAGCCAGTATAAAGGCTGGTGGATAGGGGAGCTTTCAACAAGATGGGTGGGATTTCATTTCAGAAGACAGGATGAAAGGCTGATGACATTTTCTATTCAGAGAAATCACATTTTCTATTACCCCTGGTGGGTTGGCAACCTTCAACATCTTGCCCCAAATAATCCACTCCTGGAAGGGCCCCAGTCAGCCTCTGTCTTGGCTCCAAGCAGATGCATTGGCTGGGATGCTCAATGATGGTTTCTTTCAACCCACCCACCCAGAATCAGGATATGAGTCCTCAAAGCTATGTCTGGTCTTTAGGGCCAGCCCAGGCACCATCACACACACCAAGGGCTTGTCTGTTGCCTGGGCTAGTATACCAAGGAGGGCTGTGGGTGGCTAGAACAACTGAAGTCATGGAGAGAGAAGGAAATGCATATGACTGACATACCTGCACTTCCTGGCTTTCCAGTGACATTATTTGGTGGCAATGGTTTTCTTCGAGGGGGTACAGGTCTAGGTGGAAAGGGTGGACGGCGAGTGCCTGGAATTGTGGCTAAGAGATCGTATAACAGATAAAGTTGCCATAAGGATTCACTCTATAAAAATCACAGGTTTAAAAAAAATTATAATGTTTGATAAGTTGTAATTGAATGGCACAGATTCTATAACAAAGTGCTAGGTAATTTCTGATATTTTTCTAAAGCAATGATAGTCATGTACTCAGGAATAATGAAGCACATTAGCATATAAAAACATCCTCTGGTTGTAGATAAACATGTATAGGTAGACGTGCGTTCGAAAGACTGTGTAGATGTATAGAATTTAACATCTTTAGTTTCCCACATAGTTTCAGCAATAGCATTATTGAATTTCATTATCTGCAATTGCATGTGATTTTGAGATTATAATTCTTATGCCATTTTAACTTTAAATTGTTAAAGCGTATGACTTCTCCATTAGTGGGTGATCCACTTCACCCCCAAACTCTATGATGTAATGATAACTAAATAAACACTTTCAGAACTTAAACCATTACAACCAAGGAGCCGTGATGGCAGAAGCTAGAAACCCCTAGAGAGCAGGGTCATTGTCAGTGGGTGTGCAGTGCACAAGGGCAGCTGGCACAGGTGTGTAAGTGGGAACCAAAGTTTAACACCCACTCTGCTCATCCACCCACAAGCCCTAGTACAAAGCTGCCAGCCCAGAGGAAGGAAACCTTGTTGTAAATGGTTTACCTAAAGGATGGACAGAAGAGGCAACATTCAAACATTGCACTGGAATTTACTTTGCACTAAGGCTGGTAAGGCTAGGCGTGCCTGGAGCAGTCTACCTTAACCCAAATTTTCTTTTAAGTCTATGTTATAGCTTTCTTTGCATAATATATGTTGATTTAAAAACCTTCATATACAGCCCGGTGTACTCAGTGAACCAGGAGGTCACAGTTCAATTCCTGATCAGGGAGCATGCCTGGTTTGTGGGCTTCATCCCCAGTAGGGTGTGTCCAGGAGGCAGTCCATTGATGATTCTCTCTTATCATTGATGTTTTTATGTCTCTCTCCTTCTCTCTTAAATTAATAAAAAAAGCTTATTAAATTTTTTTTAAACTTCATGTACAACAGATCAGATAACCCCAGAAAATGCCCTGTGTCTTTAAGTTCTTAGGAGACCAAAAAGTATGTGTGTATGTGCGTGCGTGTGTGCGGGGAGTGAGTGGTGCTGACAGAATTTAGATCTGTAGCCCCAACATTAATCTACCAGAGTAGGTTTCACAGAATCCTTTCAGAAAGCAGAGTTCTTATTAAATGCCAAGATTTTCCAAGACACCAGCTACATAATTTTGGCCTAAAATGTAGAGCATAGTCATAAATTAGAAACATAAATCATTTCAGGCAAAAGGATATCGTAATAAATTACACAAGAGCGAAACATGAACATGAGGAATACTAGAACCCACAGTGACTCACCAGCATTTGTGCATTAGGGCCCTTCAGAAAACTATACAAAGTATAATAATTATTCAATTGGTGCTCATTAGAGGTTCTTATTAATGTTTAATTTGTACACAGAGCATTTTCATTCTCCCAAAGATAAGATGTTTGAATGCTTTCCTAGTAATCCCCATGTACTGCTAGCATGGCTCTATGCTTTGGGGGCCGAGAGATAACAAATGATACTGCAGTTACTGCCTACGGTCCAGCATGGGGTCAGCATCCTACCCCTTACCTGGTTTTTTTGTGAAGTGGGTAGAGTCCATGGACACATTTCTACCAGCACCCGATGGCTTTGGTGGTTGCTTGACCCCTATGAGCAGAGATAAGAAAAGGGGAATAAATAAACATATAGCAAAAATGTGTTAAATGTTCTTATTAATGGAAACTTGGTAGAGTGTCAGTGATAACAGCATTCTTTTTTATTTATTTATTTTTTGTTAATCCTTGCCTGCAGATATTTTCCCATTGATTTTTAGGGAGAGTGAAAAAAAGAGAGGGTAAGATAGTGAGAAACATCGACGTGTGAGAAACACATCAATTGGTTGCCTCAAGCACGAGCCCTGACCAGAGCCCAGCCTGGGGAGGAGCCTGGAACCGAGGTAAGTGCCCTTGACTGGAATTGAACCCTGGGCCTTTTGATCCACAGGCTGATGCTCTATCCACTGAGTCGAACCAGCTAAGGCATAGCATGCTTTCTTTACAGAGTAGGGACACTGGTAAGTTAGGGCCAGGCATCTTAACTGGCTTCTCCCATCTTCACATAGAAAAAACTCAAAGGGCTACCTTCATTGGTTGTGATATTTCCTCTGAAGAGTTAACGCTTGATTGTGGACTGTGGTTTCTGTCTTGGTTTTCCATGTTGTCTGCACAGCCTTCCTGGGTGGTACTGCCTCACCAGGGGATCTCATCTACAGTAATTGGCCATTCTTTCCCAACATTCATGGACACATTTTGTGGTTTTGAAAAAATTTCCTCCAACAGTTCTATCCCCATAAAAAACCCTCAAAATTCCAATGTGTTTGGGTTTATAAATAATAAATTGGCTTTTAAAATATTTCTGGAGAGGACTTGGCTATTGGACTGGGTAGGCCATAAACTGGATCTGTGCCTTTGAGATTTGTAAGTTAATCCTGGGCAGGCCTCATACTCCAAATTGCTATTTGAAAGAAACTGATCTGAAAATTACTTTGTGTGGTATTTGAACTCCTAAACTTCTCAAACACAATCTGGTGGTTATTACTCAAATGATGAGTAGTCATTAGATGAACTCAGCCATTCATCTAAATACTCATGCTTGGAGTTTAGGTTTCATCCTTTTAAAATTATTATTATTCTTTTACTTTTAAAGAATAGTTTTTTAAAAAAATATATATTTTATTGATTTTTCATAGAGAGGAAGAGAGAGGGATAGAGAGTTAGAAACATTGATGAGAGAGAAACATCGATCAGCTACCTTTTGCACACCCCCATCTGGGGATGTGCCCACAACCAAGGTACGTGCCCTTGACCGGAACTGAACCTGGGACCTTTCAGTCTGCAGGCTGATGCTCTATCCACTGAGCCAAACTGGTCTCGGCTATTTTTAAAGAACAGTTTATTGATTTTTATTGAGAGAGGAAGGGAAAAGAGAGAAACATCGATGTGAGAGCATAACATCAATTGCATGCCTTCCACTGGGGATAGAGCCTGCAAACCAGGGATGTGCCTTGACCATTTGGTGTACAGGAAGACACCCAACTAACTGAGCCACAAAGGCCAGAGTTATTATTTGTTGATATTATAAAATAATCTTCCCCGACATGGCTGACAGTCTTCACTAAGAAGAGACAGAATCATATTTTTAGATTTACAAAGTATCTCATTAGATATAATGATTCATTCTAAGAGTCCATACTCTCAGGATTCTACAATAATTCACATACTGTAAGACGAGAACATTTAATTAACATACTAGCTAGTACATTAACAATAACAAATACAACCAAAATCATAAATTAAACATCCAACTTTGTTTGCCAAAAACTAGATGATATTCCCCCATTAACTTATGATATTATTAATTATAACTACTGTAATAGAAATTAACATAATTAGTATTAATGTTAAAATTATTAACATTATATTCTAGCATTATTATAATTTTTACATTACAATAATGATTAACATTAATTTACGAACCAAAATTTTTTTATAATTCATACACTCTGTTGCTTGAATAGAAGATAATATATGAAATATTAGTGAAAGCTATATGGAGTCATGAATTAATTACTGCTGATTTGCGGTAGGAAAAAAACGTTTCTGGGGTCAATGACTATTTTGTGGCTAACCCTACAGGCATGGTGGAAACAAATGGCTCATTAATTTTCATCCTGTGCCCCGCTGTCAGCAGTAATGGGCCAGGGAAATGACTCATGTGGGTGGTTGCTCTGGGCACGGCATAGGGAAATGGAAAACACTTCCATCTGTGTCACTGGGATGCCTTGACTCAGTGAGATTTGATTTACCACTATTGTTCAGGGTAAAATATGTATCTTTTCTTGTCATTTTTATTTTTCTCTTATTCCTCATAATGACTCTGAGTGACTTCAGCCCTAGAGTCTTATACTCAGTCTTTGGGTGTTTTAAAGTGCCACCACTGTCTGAGGGCTACATGGTCAGGACTGGCATGCCTATATCATCCAGCTACGCCCAGATAACATAATACAGGGCTAATGGCAGATACCATCATGCACATGCCATATCTACCAGCCATGAGCTGGTGAACTGGTGATCTGGGAGAGAATCCAAAATTATGCAGGATTCCTTTATGAGTAAGACCGTAGATATAAACTGGCTTCTTTTCTAAGTAAGGGAGCAATCAGCAGAAAGCAGCCATTTCCTATCACTTTTTGTAAAGGTAGAGACAGAGCATCATATTGTTAAGATCCTTAAATGTAAATATCCAAGTCAAGAAAGCATCAGTTGATAAACTGGACTTGGGCTAGCCTGTAAAACACATAGAAGTGAGTGGTAGATGAAACTATTGGTACAGTCCCATGAAAGGCAGCCATGGGGCGCAGGGAAAGAGCCTGCACTGAGGACCAGAGGCTGGCCTTGCCTCCACCTCGCTGTGGTTTGCACATGAGCTAGGTAGCAGTGTGAGCACAGAAGCTGCAGACCAGTGAACTTGTGTTTCCCTGAAGCAAAGGAGAGAGGTGAAGGTCAAAGATAGCTGAGAGGAAATGGGAGGGGAAGGAAGAAGGCGGGAAGAGAGACACCAAAGAGAAAGAATTCTCCGGAGCTGGTACATCATCCGCCACTGTGGCCCAGTCTGTGATGTGAATTCTTTCCCGTCAGGCAGGATTAATCCACATGTTTCCTAAAGTGTAGAATTGTCTTCAGAAACACCAACACGTCTCATTCACTCTGAGCTCCTGATGGCCAAACGGGAGTTCTCCAACATTTTCTGGATTTACACAGTTCAACTCTTAGGAATTTATTGTAAAAAATAAAGTAAGATTTGGGTATTTTTAACCATGGTAACAAAAGACTTGTAAAGAAACATCGTAAAGTGAACATCAATTTCCAAATGTATCAGATACTCTATTTCCTATGATCATAAAGGCGTGGTGTTTATGGATAATTGCTCTCCTCATCTTTGTCTCCAAACCTTAGCACCTAGCTAAAAAGTCAGGGGTAATGAGCCAGCAGACTGGAAAAGTTAGCCACAGCTCAAACACATTCCTTAGATGTAAATGCACAAATCATAAAAGGGGTCTGGGGATTGGTTGTCAAGCAAACTCCGTGAGGGGGCAGTGAAGTGCACTTCATCAGAAAAAGGAGTCTGGGGTTCAAGTATGGAACATATCTGCCAAACTATTGTACATGTGCCAAGGTGGTTTCCAAGTGACACTTCACCTAGCACTTAGTGGGCCTTCAATAAATGTTGGTTGGATGAAATAATAGCTGCCCAACTCAGCAGCTCTCTTCTGTAGGGAGAAATTTGAGAGCCTGTCTAGCGCAGGGTTGGAAAACATTTTGCCAAGGGTCAGGTAGTAAATATTGTCAGCTTTGAGGGCCATATGTCTCTGTCACAACTATTGAACTCTGCCAGAGAAAGCAAGCTATGTTTCAAAAACGCTTTATTTACAAAAGTAAACAGTGGTTGAAGTTGGCCTGTGGGGCTCCAGTTTATGAGATCTAACGCATGCTTGTTGCATCTCTGAAGTTGTTGGTTATAATATGAAGAACACGTAAGTTAAGCTGAGACACAGCTCTAGAAGCCATGAAAAAAAAGAGATGCAGAGATGGTGATCAGCCTAAAACTTCAACCTCTTATAGGCTGCTTCCTAACTTTGAGGTGGAGAAATATTTATGCATATAGGTATGGAATATACATAAAACAGGATAAAAATCTGTAATAGTAAGATAAGATACTTGTGTCAAGATGGCTTAAAGATTTTTTGCAGTTTATGCAATCATTGTGAAGTTATTAGAGAGGCCCAAATAATCAAAGGTTGATAGTTTTGAGGCCTTAAAATCTTCTTTAGTCTTCCAAGGGCACAACCTTATGAGATCTAAGACCATTAAGAATATGTCCTATAAATCCTAAACACTTCATTTACCAACTGATTTTATTTTTATTATAAAGTATCTGGGCTGCAAACTTTAGCAAGGAAAACTATAGAAAAATGTATGTGCGATGGATAATAAAGATAAATATTCTGGGCAAGATGTGAAAGTTGGATAAGGAAGCTGTTGACACAGAAATATTGTCTCATTAAGACTCAATGGAGGTTAGAAGTGAATGTGGATGAGAAAGTGGGACTGGGTCAGAGAAGAAAATAAGCTTAATGTGAATACCTGGATTTCTGCAAACAAATCAGTTCAAAACCACGCAGAATCAAAGAAAGGTAAACTCATGTAAACCTATAACTTGGAGATAATATATTTTAAACATTCTTTTTCTTACCAATTTTTTAATCCCTAGGCAAATAGTTTGAGACCTGTTAAATTTTTCTTTCATAAGATGCTAAATAATGTCGTCTGTGATTCCCAGTTTTTATACTGCCTACTTCTTTTCTTGACTTAGTGCACTGGCTACATATGCCACTACTGTTTTCAAAAGAAATGATAAAAATAGAAGCCCTTACTTGTGTTCTTGATGTTAGGAGAAAAATATTTTTACTTTCTCTATTAAGTATAATGTTAACTGTAGATTTTTCACAGATGCCCTTTATCGGTGAGGAAAATTTTTTCAATTCCTAGTTTTCTGAGTTTTCATCATGAATAAATTTTGAAGTTTGTCTAATGGTGATTTTTTTTTTATATTTACCGAGATGATAATTTTTCTTCTTTGCTCTGTTAATGTAGAAAATTATACTAATTTGTTTGAATGTTGAGCCAACCTTGTATTGCTGAGGTAAATGTCATTTGGTTGTTATGTGTTATTGTAGTTGACATGGAAATGTACCACCCAGATCTTGAGAGGTTGACCTTGAAGGAGCTGACAGTTGGATGCTATCTGCTGACCTCACTCCAGGTGGGCAGCAAGTGTTTCCCTGAAGGGAAATCCCAATAGACAGACATTAGAACACAGAATAGGTGAAACACAGTTTGGTTGAGGGTGGAGGTGGAGCAAGGATAAGGGAAAGAGTGAGCTCAGCTTTGTCTACCTATGCCTACCAGCCCCTTTCTACCAGCAGCCAGCTAATTAGATGGAAAGAGCCCTGATAGGAGATTATGTAACACTAAGTTACATGAGTTATTACTACATAGTTGACTTCATCTACACAAGAGGGTAATATATGTCAGTTTGTGTTATAAGTGGCTCTGAAAAAATGTTTTTATTGTTGATAAACTAAAATATAATGACTCTGTTTTTCTCTCTGAAGAACAATGAGCACTTTCCTAGTGAGAATCAATGCTTGATTGTGCTGAAGGTTGAAAGCTTTCAAGTTTGATTATAGCTAGTCGTTCTTTCCTTTGCTTTGTTGACATAAGAGCTTTCTTCTATTTTCACTTAGACAAACTTGAGATAATTACTTTGAATATTAAGAAGTTGGCTCTGTTTAGAGCCAGATTGTTCATGTCAAGTTGAGAAACTATGCATTGCCTAATCTCACTGTTGTGAAGAATAAAAGGAGCAGCTAAGCACAAATAGGTATCAGAACTCTTTCTTACTTTTCATGAGTTAGGAACTTATAGCAATTGTCTTATTACTTGGATTTTAGGGAAGTTAATTCCTAGACTTCAGACCCTATAATAACCTTATACAAAAAAGACATTCTAAAACAAATCTTAATGATTTTTATACTGAATATCTCCAGATATTATTTTACATCTTTTTTTTCATTAGGAAACCATCATAGGTTGATTAAATATATATCATTAAATAAATTCTCACTTTCATGCTTTTTTACATAAAAGAGCACAAATTTTGTACTAATTTAAAAAATATTGCCCTAAACAGTTTTTTTCAGTAGTTAGAGCTTTGGTCTGCAGACTGAAGGATCTTAGGTTTGATTATGGTCAAGGGCATGTACCTTGTTTGAAGGCTTGATCCCTGTACTTGGTTGAGGAACTTATGGGAGGCAACTAATCATTGTGCTTCTCTCACATCAATGTTTCTTTCTGTCTCTCCCCATCCTTTACATTCTCTCTAAAAATCAATAGAGAAAACAACATATCCTCAGGTGAGAAATAACAATATATATATTTATACATATGTATAAATATATATATATATATTATGCATATTAATAAATATATATTGCAAGGAAATGACGCCACCCCATATTAAGTCATCAAAATTATCATTTATATGCAAATTGACTCCTCATGCCCTCATAAGATGGCTGCCCCCACATTATCATAAGCTGGCCACCCCCACATCATCATAAGAGGGCCACCCCATGTCATCACAATATGGCCACCAGAAGATGGCTGCCTCATGTCATCACAAGATGGCTGCCCCCACATTGTCACAAGATGGCTGGCAGAAGAGGACAGTTGGGGGTGATCAGGTCAGCAGGAAAGGGCAGTTGGAGTGATCGGGCCAGCAGGGGAGCAGTTAGGCATCAATGAGGCTGGCAGGGGAGTGGTTAGGGGGTGATCAGGCTGGCAGACAGAAGCAGGTTAGGGGCAATTAGGCAAGCAGGCAGGTGAGTGGTTAGAAGCCAGCAGTCTTAGATTGTTAGAGGGATGTCCGACTGCCAGTTTAGGCCTGATCCCGCAGGGGATATCAGGCAGTTGGACATCCCCCAAGGGGTCCCAGCTTGAAGAGGGAGCAGGCTGGGCTGAGGGACACCCCCCCAGTATACGAATTTCATGCACAAGGCCTCTAGTATTACTATAACAAGGGTGATCAATTGCCAATTCCCCTTCTTATTTTAATATTTAGTCAAGATTTCTAATAGATTTAAATCTCTTAACAGTTATAATGGTATTTATGAAATTATAAAGTTGAAAACCAAGTGATTTCAGTCTCAAAGACCAAGCCTATGTATTGGATTTGTTTTGTAATGAAGAAAAACAGCTATTTTGATATTTTAATTCAATAATTTATATTATTCAGGATCTTTTAAAGAATCAAGCCTATTAATGGTAGCTATTTAGTGAACTGGGTTTAGAAAAATGATAAATTATTCTTAAATTTTTCAGAGACATAGGATGTTTTGATTTTAGAATGCATTACAATTTTCAATTCCTTAAGCTAGGAACTTCCAAAACTAGTAAAAAAGAAATTGAAGTGAGAATTCAACAAAACTATAAAAATTGAATGAAAACATTTATAGTTTTGGCAGCATCAATAGGAAATAAATTTGTGATCATTACCTGTTCCCATTTCATTCCATTTGGGCATCCCACTGGGTTTGGGTCTAGTGGGTCTTGTAGTTGTCTTATTCAGAACTATAATAAAATAGGAAAGAAATAGTTCAGACATTTTCCTATAATAATTTGTAGCCAAGGAAAACAAAACTTCCCAGAGAATTGTAAATCATTTAACCAAGCAATAAAAAAATTGATGGTTTACCAAAAATTATTGTTCAGAATATAGAAACCACAATTCTGGTATAAAAATCATAGGTTTGTATTTGGAAATAGAAACCTGGGTTTGTACTCTAATGTGATCACTGGACTTGAAAAAATTAACTGGCAAAGAAATTTATATTTCTAAATTGGAAATATATTTTTTAATATATAGGCACTAGATATGTTCCAAAATGAACTGGAGGATAATTAGGACTACCTATGCTAATGAAAAAATAAAACTTGAAGTGTATTTACTTGTCAAGGCCTTAATTCATAACTTATAAGTGGATGGTCCTTTTGCATGAGTCTCTAGGTACATATGCTCCTTTAATAATCCTGGTACAAGTCCATCATTAAACACAAAACTGTAATAAAAGCATTAAAATTTCTTTCCTGCTCTGTTGACAGCCATAGCATTATCAAAACTTTAAGAGGTCACCTGTCTTATCTTTCGCTTAGAAGACTCTTTAAAGAAAAGAACTAAATATACCATGGTTAAGAGAGTAACCATTGGCCGTAACTGGTTTGGCTCAGTGGATAGAGTGTTGGCCTGCAGACTGAAAAGTCCCAGGTTCAATTCCGGTCAAGGGCACGTACCTTGGTTGCAGGCACATCCCCTGTTGGGGTGTGTGCAAGAGGCAGCTGGTCAATGACTCTCTCTCATCGATATTTCTAACTCTTTCTCTCTCTTAATTCCTCTCTGTGTAAAATCAATAAAATATATATTAAAAAGAAAAAAGAGAGAGAGAGAGAGAGTAACCATTGGACCCTGATTGAGGGCAAGTGCCTGGGGGTAGAGGAAGCTGGGAACAGGTCAATGAGAGAAAAAAAAGGGAGACATATGTACTACTATTTGTAATACCTTAAACAATAAAATAAAATAGATGAATAATATTTGAAAGCAAGTAATACGTCACACAGAATGCTAATGCTACCTATAATTGCCATGGAAAATTGAAAAAGTGTGCCTATGTGTGTGATTTATGCACAAATACTATTTAAAAATAATTTTGTATTAAATTCTATAGTGGTCTCTGAATCTGATCCTCCTTAAAAACCTCACTCAGGTCTTGTTGGTTCCATGGATCCATCATTACCTCTCTACTTACCTGCAAGGATCAGAATTTCTGAATGTCCATTATTTCAATTTAAGTTTATAGTTCTTCTTTAGTACATCTAGTTGCTTTAACACATTTTATATCGTCTCAGATATGCTGATTGTTTGGGTCATCAGAAAGAGAAACAACTTACCAGGTCTGATGTCTGTTTTTTCTGGTATTTTGGGCCTCACAGGAATAGTGTACAGTCTGCGTGGTGCTGAAATAGAGCAAATGCTTCATGTTTAATACCCTACACTCCAAAGCCCACTAAATCAAGATTTGAAACCCTAGGGACCAACAATTTGTACATTGTGTATGGAAGTGGAAAGAACATTCTGCAAAGGAAAATAAAATAAGTGAAAGTACTCATGATTGGATATTAAAAAGCACATTATCAGAATGAGGTAGGTAATTTCTAATGAGTGTTACAGATGTCACCATTAGTCCAATTTTTCAAGGACATTTACTTTACCAGATGGTAGCTTAACATGGTAAACATAAAAGGCAGCCAAGCATTCATCCATCCATCATCTATGTGTCCATCTATCCATCCATCCACATCACTCAATTAGGTAGACACTGTGAAACGCTGTTTTTCCAAAAAAGACCAGTAATCTTAAAGGCAAGACAAAAAAATATTTTGAGGTAGGTAAGAAGAAATGAGTAAAAACATGTGATCTCTACCAAAATGTCTTGGCTTATGTACCCTGAAATGAATCAATGCCCACTCAGTGCCATCTCTTACAGCATTAGGATGAGAGAAAATGACTTCAGGGGCCCTGCTCAGCAATCTAGGAGAGCAAGGAGCAAGAACTCAGACAAGCTCTGGGACCAACATATCAATTTGTCACTTCCTGTTCCTGTAATCTAGGGCCGGGCACAGTGAGGATTCCAACTGAAGATTTGTTGAATAAATTAAAAAATGAGCAAGCATCGTAAATGGGCAAATTCACAAGAAACTCAGGTTGGTTGCTTCCTAAGGTTTTAAAATATGCATTTATCCAGGAGTTGTCTGTTCTTCCCCTCCCTCCTCTGCCCCCTTGACACACCACACTGCCTCCTAACTCCAACTTTCTTGGTAATGCTTTAGCTAAGACTGGAGGGAAACAATTCTTTTTTTCAAACTTGTAAGTAAATTACATTGCTTTTGTTCAGACCTTGAGGTAGTAACCTTAAATCAGCAATGCTTTGTCTAACAAGTTAAAAAAAAAAACACAAACCTGCAAAACAGATTATAATGTAGCTCATTTATAAACTTCCAATGTGAAGACCGATGAGCATATTTCAGGCCCAAAACCAGCAGACACACACTGATATTCTCTGTGGATTCAGTGCGGGCCCATTAAAGTGTAATAACTAGAGTGAACAGAGGCATTGATGCTATAAAATATGAATTCTTACACACCCTAAAATGCATAATGATGATTAGCCCATGTTTTTCTTTAATTTTCTTTGAGAATTATCTGTCAATCCAACATATTTCAGGGTTTTGTATTAATTTCTTCTGTGTTAGATTGCTTTCTTTTAAAGAACTAAATGACCATGGTTCTTATTAGTCTCATTTTAGAAGAAATTTAAATTTTACAAACTTTAGTTATTGTAGAAGAGCCTTAGAGCAGAACACAAAAATAATCAGCACTATATTCATTATTTCAAGTCACAGGATTTTTTATTATTCCAGAGTCTGTACTTAAATCTAGAAATAACTTTTATTAAAAAAAAAAAAAAAGCCAAAACATAATTTTAAGTTTAGGTTGTGAGTTACATATCTCATCATCAAATAGCACATGGCCTTGAGAAATCTACTCTAGGGTTTCAGTTAAAAAAAAGAAAAAAAAAAAAGGACAAAGGAGCTTTGTGACAATGTAACTCTGTAAACATCATCTCCATGTAGATTTTGGTGACCAATAATAAAAATAACCTTAAAAGATGGCTTCATATCTGAATAGTTCCATAAAAATCTATGTAAAATGAACTTTAAAACTAAACAAACAGGGATTATTGGAGGAACACTGTGAATGATATGTGTTCTGCCTACTACAGGGAGAGGGGACGGAGTATATTCAGCTTTCCCTGGGTGAGTAAGTATCAGGGGCTGCAAGCAGTAAAATAATGAAAGTACTTTCCAAATGCAGCTGGCTAAGTGGATTTCTACTACGGGTTGAGAAGCGAAAGGCAGAGCCGAAGTGTTTGAGCATTGCAGGGCGTCGAGTGCTTCAGGGAACTGTCTCAGTCGATAAGGAAGCAAAGGCCCACAGAGGAGGTGCTGGGGTTTCCTTGAGCACTTAGGCCCTATGTTTGAGGGATCTGGAGGGCACATGCGTAGAGTGAAAGGATCAAGAGGAACAATTTCACCCCTACAGAATCTGTATCAAAGTACTGTGTGCTGTCCTGTGCTCCCAATGGCTGGTGTTACAAATAGAACAGCACAGCCCATCCAAAACAAACAGCTGATTGGCCGCCCCTTCCCTAGAGCTCAGGCAGACGTTTATGAGGCCTGGGCCAAAGGTGAAGTTCCTAGGGACACACATCATGTCGTGACTGAAGATGACCCTCTCTCCCAGGCAGGGCTATCGGGCTGGGCCAGGTTGTGGATGTTACTCTCATCCTTAGATGGGTTCTTTCCTGGGATGTCCCTTGTCACCTCATGGAAAAGAATCTCTGGCGAGCCACTCTCAAGATCCTTGGCACAGTCCAGAAAAGTGCAGCTGAGACTTAAGCTGAGGATTCTTGGAACTTAAGAAAATATTGAAAACATAGTATACTCTATCACTATGTTAAAAGAATTCATATAATGATATCAAGTCCTGGATATATATCCTATCAACTATGAATCTTCTATCTAAAAAAAAAACATGACCTAGAAGGAATTTGGTAAGAATTCTACATACATTCATACTGGTAACACAATACTGGTATTCCCATTAAAGTAAGAAAATGCAAAAGTAAAGAACAGCCCTATGATCTTCCATCCTCAATTCTGAAACCCTATAAAGCGCTAAAAAGCTGAAAGCTTTCTCATTTGGCAACAGGACCTACGCTGCATAGTCTTTATTTTTCCTGCTTAGTGTGAGTACATGTATAGTTTCCTGCAAAAAAATTAATGTGCTTGATTATGATAATCCAGCTATTTTCTATTAAGCCAGACATTAAAAAAGTTTGCAAAAACATAAAAAATAAACATGCAAAAAATGAGGGTGGAGTATAGATGTAATATGATTAAACATCTGCTACTAATGAGGATGTGGGAGGGCTGACAGTATATTAGGCTTCTGTGTAGATTTATAAATAAAAGGTGAATAAGTAGGAAGGTGATAAAGCAATTAATAAAACAAACACTTAAAACATAGTAAAAATTAAACCAAACAAGTAAAAAAATTTACAAAAATTATGAGAACTGTGCCGTAGTGTTCAGTCACACTTATAGAAGTACATACTACTCTACTTACTGCAATATACACCATAAAATTAGACTTCTTTTATTATTATTTGCTCTTATTATTTCAAATTTCTTCCATTAGATAATCCCCTACCCCAAAATTATAATAAACAAAAGAATAAAATAAATTTGTCTTCTAATTCCTTAAAAAATATTTGCTTTTGCTTTTTGGGCTTATTTCCATAAGGAAGAGGCAGAGATGGGCAAAGGGGGTCATTTGGGGCAAATAAGAAAGAAAGAACACACAGAAATACTGGGAACCCGCAATGGTTATAACCCAGATAGGATAAAAACATCCTCCTGAGAGCATAAAGATGAGATAGAGGTTTGTGTAGGTGAGTTTAATTTCCAAAACATAGAAAAGAAGAAATTAAAAAAGGACATTCCAGAGAAAAGTTTCCTGGAAATTTAAATATTAAATTATCTTTAAAAACTGATATGTCTTCTTACTAGTTTCCTTCCTTGGGCCACCTATCAATGTGTCCAGCAAGTTGGGCACAAAAAGAAAAAGGAGAGGAAGAGTAGAGTGGTGGGGAGTGTGGGAGAGGAAAGGTAATAAAGAGTCTCATTTATCAGATGTAGAACATGGATCAAATGAAGATCAATCAAAAAATAACAAAAGAGAGCTTTCATTGTTAGTTCTCAGCCATGCATTCAAAAGTAAAGCTCTGACTAAAAAACTTGTCTTCCCTACATCCACTGATAGTCATATGGGCATTAATATTTGGCTGATATGGTGTCCTGCACCTATGAAATGAGAAAAATCAAGTAATTCACTGTGATGAGAAATTACATTTTTTAAAGAAATTATATTTCCCAATTTAAAATGAAGAAAAGAAGGTTATTGTACAGAGGTAGGGAAATAGTATTACCCTGAGTTGTCTTTGCCAATTCAGTTGTTGGTGGCATCTTAGTTGTGAAGAGAACTTGGGTGGCTTGGTCTGTTTCTGCTGGGGAAAAGCACAGGAAGGTGGTTTGCTTTAAATAATTAATGTTATAAACAAGTGATAATAAAAGGGTAAAGTGCATTTATCAGTATGCCCAGTAGTCATCGTAATTCAAAGTTAATAGTGAACCTTAGTAACTCTCCTTTATTATATTTTCTCTCTTCTTAAGCTGAGGATCCTCAGAACATAAGAAAATAATTAAAACATAGTATGTTATATTACTATGTTAAGAGAATTTGTATAATGATATTAAATCCTGGATATAATTATTGTAATGATTTTGAAACGCTTTCAGATCAGGATCATTATTTAATGATACTGGAGGTGATGATACTTGGATATGTCTCCTAACTGCCTTTGTGTCTTTTTCCTATTCTATAATTTATTCCACAAGTTATTTAGGTGAGCTGGAAAAGAAATAGGTCAGATAAAAATATGTCTGTACCATATTAGGATACATTTTATTTTCCTTATGTGAAAAGCAAAGTTTATGTTTACTGACAAATAGACACACTTCTCCTGACTCCTCCTGCACCCCATAAAAAAACAATAAGTATGGCAATAGTTCCACCTTCAATATTATTATTACCATATCATGCAGACAGAAAATTGTTCACTTTGGCATATACTGAATCCAAGGAAAAACTTTCTGCAAATAATATGTTGTCATCTTTTTGTTTGTTGTTTGTTTGTTTCTGTTCTGCTTTATAATTTGGATTTGGCTCAAGAGAGATACATGAGGTAAATGATAGGTGATGATTCTTGCTTCAATAAATCAAGATACATTAAAAATAATATGGAGTGGAAGTTGGATAATTAGCTATCGGGCAGGGGTTCTTGAGAGTACTTTTGATTTCATTTTCATGGGTGATCTTGGCTTTGTGGGCCTAGACTACAATAGATGAATATTTGGTAATCAGGGCATATTTACTCATTCAGTGTTTAATTTTTCTCTCTAAAAGAATTTTATTTTAAAATGTGATCCATAACTTCATTAAAATTATTTTAAAATGTGACCCATAACTTCATTTCAGCAGCCATACATAAAGAATGAGTTTATTTGAAAAGGGAGGGAAGAAAGGAAAACAAGGCCACTAATTTAGACACAGCCATGTGTGATGTAGCACGGACAGACACAGGAGCCAGAAATCACAAGCTGAGAACACGTGTTTTCTGGCTCATTGTCAGCCAAGAGTCAGGCAGACTGGGATTTCCCATTCTGTGAACTCCCCGAAAGCACGGCCAGCTCATCCCAAGCAACTGTCCTGACTCATCCATCAACTTTTCTCCATGTGACCTGCATGCTCACCGCATTAGACTGGCGGCCAGTCTGCCTGCGCCTCAATCCCATCCGTCTTTAACCTGGAAGGACCTTGCATTTTTAACGTCAACTGTCACTCCAACTTAAACACCCAGTTTAATATCCCCTCTTCTGTGAAGCCTCCCCAATGCCTGTGGGGAGCTGGCTTGTTCAGCATGTTGCTCATTTCTCTGTCACACTCATTGGAAAGCATAATGCAGTGGTGAATCCCAGGGGTTCTGGTGACTGAGTGTGTGGGTCCCAAATTGGCTCTGACGTTAGTTGTGTGACTTGGCCACAATTTAAAAACCCTCTATGCCTCAATTTTCTAATGTGTAAAATGGGGCAAGTAATAGAACCTACCTCTCAAAGTTGTCATGTGGCTTAAATTTAAAACTACATGTAGCATCCTCAGGGGGCACTCAGGAAGTACCACTATCCCTAAACCCTGATTTCATATTACAGGGCAAGTTCTCCAGGGGAAAAACCCATCTCTAAAACAGTTTTATTTTGGAACTCCCATTGCTTAGCATTGTGTCCATAAAATACTTAATAAATACTAGAATTTATTTTAAATAATAATAGAAAATAAATAAATAATACTTTGGATATATTGGGTTAAAGAAAATGAACTAAAACTAAAAAAAATACTAGATACAATTTTTCTTTCAAATGCACTTTCAAATACAGAAGAAACAATAAAACATATAAGATTGATACACATTGGGAACATTCTGCTTTTTAGAATACTTGAAAATTTGTCAAGATGATTTAAAACCTTCTCATTTTATATTAAAAATCACCATAGGTATTAGGACAAATATACAATTAATGTAAAAGGATCAAGTGATGTGGGGGTTTTATGTAATGGTAGAAAGAAACCCTCTGTTGCTTGGAAACAACAGGAGCACAATGTAATACGGTTTCTTTAAGGGCAAGCCCTGGTAGGTAGGTCCTCATTGGACTGAAATATCAGGACAAAATTTACCCAGAGTGCTTTGTAGTTCCTCTTGACTAGAACTTGGTGAAATCATAGGGACGAAAGGACTGCTTCGGGTGTCTAAAGGAGCTGCAAAAGATAAGCACCAAGGTTTTCAATCCCTAGATTCAAAAGCCAGAGCCAGACCAGAATATCACATGAGATCCTTCATTTGAAACAGAAAAAGAAAAACACTGAATTGTGGAGAAGAAAATGAAGTGTGCACAGGACTTTGGGAAAATGACTGAAGTATTGGAGTGATGGTTCTCAACTGTGCTTTCCCATAGGATGGGTAATAAATGCCATTCAATGCTTGACCTCCATGACCATACCAGTAAGATGGGGTATGGGCCAGTCACAGTCCTGAGCATGTCAGCTGTCATTCTCTCAACACAGCACACAGGGTTACAAAATGAGTGAGAGTATTAACATTGTGCTTGCTACAATCATTGCAAGTCTGCTCACGTTTATTTTTTAATCTAAATCATTGGCAAATTTCAGTACTTTGATCGATATTAATGATAATTATTGCCAGTACCACTCCCAAAATGCTAATATATCATAACACTACAGCTGAGAACCACCAAATCAGCAGAAAATGTTAACTGGATGGCAATGAGTGAGGTGGAGTCATTGGGAACACGGAGATAAATGAGGTAGGTGAGGATGGGCTTGGTAGTGAGCTGTCCTAAGCTGGTCGTCAGAGCAAAGCTTTTAGAACAGTGAAACCATTACTTTTCTATTTTGGAAAGAGTGATAATGAGAATGAAGTGATGAAATGGTTTGAGAAAAGATGATGTTTCAATAGGATCATTTGAGAAAGACCTGTAATCCTGATGACAAGGAAACAATTAGACTTGGTCAATATGGGAAAGCCATTACCTATTGTTGTCTCTGGTGGATCAATTCTAAAGGTAACAGGCTGCAGAACTGGGCCAAAAGCAAACCAAAGAGACATATTCATGAGAATTACTACCTGGTGAAGTGAAAATAGTTTCTGTGTTTCTCCATGCATCCATTTGAACATTTAAAAATTCCCTAAGAACCATGATAAATATGAGAAAATTATATATATTAGAGGCTACTCAGGAAACTTAGTTTAGTTAAAACATTCAATTTTGTATTCACTGCCACTTTAAGAACATTTTTTTGAGTCAACTCTTACATGTTTTACTTCAAAGTACACGCATAGTTGGAATGAAGTTACATTTTGAAAGAAGGTGAAAATGGTTGGCTCGATTAATCACTAGGCCTTATAATATTAACACGATTTCCTATTCCCGTGGTCGGCAAACTGTGGCTTGCGAGCCACATGCAGCTCTTTGGCTGCTTGAGTGTGGCTCTTCCACAAAATACCATGGCCTGGGCAAGTCTATTTTGAAGAAGTGGCTTTAAAAGAAGTTCAAAATTTAAAAATTTGGCTCTCAAAAGAAATTTCAATTGTTGTACTGTTGATATTTGGCTCTGTTGACTAATGAGTTTGCCGACCACTGGTTCTATTCAATGAAAACACTTCCAGGAAAAATAAACTAATTGCACATTGTTTCCTAGTGTTAACCAAGGGGAAAATATTTATACAGATTGTATGATTATCCCTTCCCCCCCAAAAAATAAAGAAATACACCTTTTATAGTCATAATTTTTTTCAAACGTCTTCCACTCCTACAATCATTAAAAAAATATTTACCTCAACAATATTTTTGAAAAATATACTTCCTAATTGAGAAAATAAAAAGGTTCATTTACCAGATTCTCTCTGAGAGGCTCCGTGGTCTGGTTTATGGGGAAGGAGCACACCTCCTGGAGCTGCAAGAAAAGGTTAGGAAACACGGTGTACTCGAAATGTCACGCCTGGACTGAGACAATGCAGATACACAATCCTGGAAAGCAAGGAGGAGGCAAGCATACTTCCACTGTGAGTAAGGAACAAAGCCCAGAAGATACCGTTCTTTTCAAAGTGAAAAAATGTTACTGTCTCAGGAAGGTTTTAGTGGGAACAGAAGAGAGTTGGTCACAGTTCATTTTGAAGCTTCCCTTGAAAGGGAAAAAAAAGAGGTAATGCTAATGTAATTAAACACAAGAAGGCAGGTCTCCTTCAAGTTCACGTCAAAATAGAAAGTCAGTTTTTCCCTGAAGTAAGTAGTTAGGGGCCATTTGATATTCATGCTAAAATTTTGTTGATAGCAAATAGAAAATGCATGATCTTAGATAAAGTGCATAAATGGCCTAAAAATTGATGAAAATAGCAAGAAAGGTAAAAGTCTTGAAGAGCTAAAAGAAAAACATAGTTTTATTTTAAAAGACACTAACTAAACTAAACTAAACTAATGTCCCAGTAATAACCATTATTACGCGGAGAAGGCAGCAAAAGGAAATCAGTCTCTTATTAGATATACCACGTGAAAAGTTGATGGAGTACTTATTTCATAGTAGATAAATGTTGCCACTTTTGGCATTCTTAGTGATGTGGCTTTTAGTATATTAGGTATCAGGGCCTCCTGCCATATCTATAATAATAAAAGCATAATATGCTAATTAGACCAGTCATCCTTTCGGACGACCTTCCAGAGGAAGCCGGGGCTTTGAGGGAAGTTTGGGTCCCGGTGCCAGAGGGAAGCGGGTGCCGGCAGTTGGAGGAAGAAAGGCCTACTCTTGCACTAAGTTCGTGCATCAGGCCTCTAGTGAGAATATGACAATGAAGAACAAAAATGTCAGCTTTACAATAAACCTATTTATATTCAGTCCCTGATATCAAGTATATTTTTAATACCTTTGTCCTGTTCTATTTTAACAAAATAAAACAGTAGGCTGAGAATTTGATACCTTGCTCTTTAGTGGGGCAAATTTCAGGAGGACTTGCCTATTGCTAGAATCAGATTTCTATGGCAAAGTCTTCTTCCAAGAGCAAGATAGTGTGCTTCTTTGACTCAGTTTCCCCACGAGGAGGTCCTTCTCAGCCTCGCTCCCTCAATGAAAGGTTTTCCTGCCACTCTGATGATTTCATAAATAACAGAGTCCCTTTGTAGGTAGTGTAATTTTCTTGCATCTTATACGATGCTGGGGAAAAATAATTAGAATTCAGTTCTTCCTCAGAGAAAAATGAAAACAAATAAACAAACAAACAACAACAAAAAAACCCAACACTTTTGTATCAGGTTGCCAAACACTGCTTTACCATTAGTATAAAAATAGGTTTTATAAAATGGACATTCACTTTTTATTGCTTTTGGGGGATCATATTTAAGGCACACATCACTTTTGTTCTTAGTGTAGGCTGCTAACTATCACTGAAATTACAGTTGTGGAATTTGGTACATTAACACAAAACTTGACTCAATTAGAATTTCTAAAAACTAACTATAGAATTTCTATAACATCCAGGGGAATTAAAAAATCTGGATTTTTTTATTTTATTTTTTAAGGAAAAAGACAAATTCAGAAAGATCCATGGTTGTCAAAGTTAGAGAAAATCCATCATTACAGTGAATGTTTCACCTTTGCTATGTAGTATTTTGGGGAATTCAAGTGGTAAAATATGAGGAATTTCCTCTTGTAAATCAAACTAAATGTTTAACCGGAGGGTGAAGGAGAAGGCACTTTGATTTGAGTCTGTAAAGGCCGTGACTATACCAAGTGCCAGTAGTTTATAAATACCCTCATTGGTTACAGTACTAGAATATACAGAGGAAGCTGGGATTAAGGAAAGAAGACCCAGAAGACACGTGCAACCAATAAATCCACCATACTGTAAATGCATTCCCCGCTGCCTGCCTCAGCTGACTGGGGAATTTAGGCTGGGGTAATGTGGATTCCTGCTGCCGCGACTGGCACTTTGTAACCATGAAGTGATGATTTAATAAACTGCCATAGCAGGCTTTCTATAGCTGCTAAAATCAGTGGAAAGAAAAAAAGAAAATAGAAATATTCATGGGAAAGGGTGATGAATCATTCTCTTGCTTGTCAACTGCAGTTTCAAGAAATGCAAGTTGTTTTTCTTTTTTTCTTTTTCCCTATGTGGCACGCCTCTGTGTATTACATTCAATAAGAGCATGATTCCTAAAATCTAAATCTTCCATGCTGGGGGAAACAATGCAAATTATGACAATTTTTTTGAGAGGAGACTTTTAATTTCCTTATAAGAATTTTTACCATTATCCTATTTTAGACTCAATTATATTAACCAACTTACCACGTATTTTAATGAACCAATCAATGAAATGAACTATCTTTTTGAATAAAGGGCACCAGTCCCAAGAAAAGTACAATGAACACAAGACAGTTATGAGTAATGTGTCTGATAGGGGCAAATGAAAATGAATGTGTATGGATGTTATACCAGGTGAGAGAAACAATATGTTATTCCCTGATCAAGATGGTGAAATATGAAATCTGCAGTAAGGTTTACCCTGCAACAGGCTACAAAGAGACTGATCCTACAGCAAAGGAATACGTGCAGGCTGCACACTCTTGCACCTCCAGCACGCTGTCCCTTTATTCTAACCGTGTTCCCTGAAGGCCAGTCTGAGAGGAAGCAAGCTTCCTGCCATTGTGGAAGCCACTTTCCAAGCTCAACCTGGGGTCTTGGGCCCCGCTCCTTTCCACATCTCCGGGACCTTTTACTTCCCATTATTTCTATTATTTTATATTTTTCTCCATTAGTCGATATTTCCATTCATCCATTAATTTTTCCCCCTCTACCTGTAAAACAGAGCAAATGCCTCACTCTCCTTAAGAAAGTCATCCTCTGACATGGCTTCTTTGTCATACCACCCTGCTCTCATTCCTCTCATCAAAACCCTCTATCTGACTCTGCCTCCTGGTCTCTCAATGACATCTCCTCCATCCACGACAGACACATTAATATGCTTGTGACCGGAAAACTGCTGAATTCCAAAGCATCAGCCCATGGTTTTCAGATACAGGTTTGTGCATCTGAACTATCAAGTCCAGCAGCTCTTCTGACCCCTCACTGGCGTTGCTGACCACCTTCCCTGCCTCACTCCTGGATCCATCAGCTCTTATGTCTCATTGCAGCAGAATGTGACAACAGAATGCATTTGGCTCAAATATGAAATAAAACATTTACCAGGTGGAGTATATGGCACTTCTGGCCTTGGTGACATTTTTGGCTTTGAAGTAACACGCTGGAACACCTTAGGAGCTGAAAAAGAGAACTCAGATCATGGGTTCTGACAGCATCTCCCGGTTATGCTTAACAAATAAGATTTGACAAAGTATAAGCCCAACAATAAAAAATAAAAAAAAGGAAAATGGTAGGTAGAAAAATAAACCTCAAGCTCTAAAAATAGATCAGTTAGATTTCAGATACTTGTAGAAAAATAAAATCTAAGAAATATTTGACTAAGCATAAGAGTAGGATGGAGAACATTTAAAAATCATTTCAGAAGAGATTACCAAATTAATGAAGGGATATTCTTTTCTGATGTTTGCTTGACTTCTCACTACTCCCCCACAATGTACACATACCCTATGTCTTCTTTGAAGATGAATTCAACGAGTCAGAGTAAAAGCCCATGAAGCATGAATAAGAAAAAGAGAAGCTTAAAGTCAAATCAGGCCACAGCAGAAAGGGAAGTGAGTATGGAAGGTACAGAGTGGGTGGGCTGGCACTCTACTCTTCCTGCAATTCTTCAGTCCCAAATAAACTTCTAAATGAACATGTTTGCAAACTAAAATTGTCTTTCTACAACTCTTCCTTTGTAACAGGTGCTAATGTAATAGATACCAAAGGAAAAAAACTAATTTATTTATAGTGCATTTTACAATTTCAAAAATGCTTTCATGAAGATTATGCCCTTTGGTTCTTACCAAAATGCTGGGAGGAAGGAGTTATCATCTTCACTTTAAAGATTTGGGTTGGCGACTATCTGCCTGAGGTTACATAGTTATTAAGTTCCAGAGAAAAGACTTGAGCTGAAGCTGAGGTCCAGACATTATCACTAGGTCCAAACACTTGGATTCTCTATATTCAAGTTCTGCATGTCACAGCTTTACTTGTGTCTCATTTTTATGAGGAAATGATAAACTTCTGCTAACTCAAAGGGTGATTGTGAGAATTAAATGTCAGAATGATGTGAAAACTCTACTACTATAATTTTTTTTCTATTTCTAGAAAAATCTTTACAAAGTTGACATTGAAGTATCTGAGAACATTCTAATTTCACTTTGCTCCTACAAAAACTAGGAACACCTATAGCTTAGATGATTATAAGATTTCTAGGTATACAATTAATAATGGGATTGTTAAGTATTATCTATGAATGTAGAAACTAAAAAATCAAATCTTTATTTAATGACAAAATATTCTTCATGATTTGTTCCAAAATTTTTATCCCACTTTGCTTTCAATGGCAAATATAGATTTCAAGTTTGCCATCTAATTTAGAAGCATAACTCAAGTATAAATAAGAAGAAAGATGGCATCTCCAGTTAAAGAATTTCATCCTAAAAAAGGGGTGGGTGAACACATTGTGTATACACTATTGTCAGATGCTACCCTTACAGCCCAATAATAGTAATTTGCATTTGGTATTATACCTGTGAGCAGGACATTCTCCCACCTCAAAGCCTTTTGAAGTTCATAAAGAGCTAGCCAAGGGTCAGAGGGGAAAAACTAGAATTTGAATATCTGTCTTTGAAACATTTAGTAATACATATGAATACATATGTAAGCACTCTTGGAAGAGTATAAAACCCAGGATATTGCCGTGATCTACTAGGTAAGATCATGTTCTCTTGGGCAAGAGAGATCCCAATTTCATCCACTTTTAAGAGGAGTAATTAGAATGTATTTTGTTTTTCCTGATCACTTTTACAAATTGTCCCCTTGCATTAAGTATCACCAACAAAGCCAGGCATATCTGATTGCAGCTATCTTCTATGGGAGATGCTGATGGATTGGGAGTTAGTTCCCTGAGTTGGGACAGAATCAGGAGGCTCTCTTGCTTGTTTGGCAGCCACTCGAGGGTTTCAGATTTAGAGAGTGTAATGCCTTGAGCTTATGAACCTATCATTTGTTCTGAAGCTGCATATCTTGTGGAGGAAGCTTGGCTAATGGTCTAAATCAAACAAATTTGAAACTTTGAATATAGTATAATAATGGAAATTTAGAGTAAGCTGCTAATTTATTATTCCATATTTCTATCTGTAGAGTACAGCTTAAAAAGAAAATTATGAATGTCTTCCTTAATTCATATCTCCTTTATTTTTTTTTTTAAAAAATTTACTAACCAAGAATTTATATTCCCAATGTCTTAACTCCAAGCACTTATTTTTCATCTCTACTCTTATTTTTCAACATTCATTAAACTTTCATGCTTTCTTATTTATTTCCATTTTCCCTTTCTCTGCTACTTTTGTTCTATGTTTTATATTCAAATAAAAAGTTTAGAGAATCCTCATGTGATTTGAACCAATTTATTTTTAAAGTTAGATTTTAGTTTCCTATCCATAAATTTGATCTACTTTTAAAATTCATATTCTATTCATTCATCATTAATTCTTTTCCCCAGTATTTCTTATATATTAATGTTACACATGTATTTATTGTTATTATTTTAAGTTTCTCACTCTATCAGGAGATTGTTGTCTTATTACCCTCATATACTTATGTGTCATACCCATATTATTTTTATATCAAAGTTTTAATAATTAAATAATACACATTTTAAAGTACATTAAAGTAGATTTAAATGAGCTGGATGTAAACATAGAATCTACTTTCAAGGAATTTCATTTTAAAGAAAAAAAAATAACAGGTAAAATTTCTCTTGGAATCAGACATTAAAGACCATGCCCAAATATATAATTTTTTTCTTTCAATAGGGATACTATGAGCTATGATTAAAGAATTTGTGGTGAGAATTCAGAACTGCTTCCTGCTAATGTTTTCCTTTCTCATTTTTGGAAGCAGACCATGTATAAGTGATAAATTTAAATTTAGGTGACTGGCCTAGACTGTAACTTCCTTGACCACAGAAGGATTCAATTTTGTTCACATTCCTAGTGTTTAGTGCATTGCCTGGCACATGGTCAGAATGCAATAAATATTTGTTGAATGACTGATTAAATGAATTAAACAATCACTTCAGCATGAAGGGGTGACATGTTTGAAATTAGGAGAGAAGAGACACAGGAGATCAGTTGATCGATGACAATAGACTAGGCATGACTGGGTAGATGCATGGAGCAGGCACCAATGCTAAAATGTTCCATACAGATGAGCTACAGAGGCTGGATGAGAAAGAGAGGTAAGAATCAGATATAAAGTGCTGAGAACCTGTCACAGATGTAATTGAAAGGCGGAAAAACAATAAGCTTTCTTTGAGGCATGTCAAGTTTATCGTATTCCATCATGGAGATTGGCTGAGGTAGTTGGAGAAATTAGAGAAGAGTTGGTTGAGAAGTTAAGGTTAGAGTTAAACATTCAAATGAGAGTTTCTTGAACAGAATAAAAAATTGTTTATAATGAATCTTATTTGGGTCCTTATCAAAATTTTACAGCAAAACAACTAAAGCAATATAATATAATTGTTATGTTATAGGAGAGGACATACATGTTTATTCTTTATGACATTAATGCTGAGTAAAATCTACTAAAAACTTAAAAAAATTTAGGTGATTGGCAAGAGGAGGCCCATTCAAGGACCATGGAAGCCTTAGGAATTCTCAAGCTGGAAAAGGCAGAGAGAGAGAGTGTAGACAGGTTACTCTTAAGAAATTCCATTCTTCTTCATCCCCCACTCAAAATAATATAATACTAGAGGAGCTTTCTGGAATAACTTATTCCAATAATATACTTTTCAGCATAAAAGGAAATGTAAATATTTATCAGGTTTCAATGGAAGACTTGTTTTACAAGGGTTAAAAACCCCAGCTCACGATAATTCAGCAGAACAACTTCACTAACATCTAACTTCTCATTTTCATAGAATGTAAAATGTGTATTTACCTGGCTGTGTCTGAGGGACTCTTGGATGTGGAGATGGTCTTGCTTTGGGAGGAGTGCGCGCTGTCTGCTTGGGAGCTAAAAGAAAGGACATAAGGCTTGGAGCTCTTGAGCTCTTGCAAGAATCACAGTTATTTAATAGCCTCTAGGCTCTCAGAAGTGTTTGTCGAGTGACTGATGAGGTAGATACACAGCAATTCAAGCAATTAAATCTTCCAAAAAGCTGCGAAGTATAGGAAGATAATTTCTTGTTATAACAGAAAACGAAACAAGAAGGAACATTAAATGATATCCAAGGTGTTCAGCTGGCAAATGAAACTGTTAGAATCCTAGAAACATCTATTTTAAGTATCTTTTAAACAGGTTAAAATAAATTTCATAATAACAAGTATTCATTCTTACAAGTTTATACCATCTTATCAGATTATCCCAGTACAATACATATTTTGAGTGCAAATAGATACAATTTCTTCTAAAAAAAAGTTAGCATGTCATATTCCAAATATACCTAGAAAAAATGAATGTATTTCAGAAGCAAGTGCTGATGGGAAAATTAATCTTATTAAAGACAATAATTTTTATTGGTCATACTGAGGAAGAAAAATTGAACAGAAATAAAAACAAAAGATTACTGAAGAAAGGTATTCCTTTGCTGGGCAATTCCCAAAGGAGTTCTAGGACACTTGGTATAAAAACCAATTATTTCTTCACCAAGAAAATGAAAAGCACTGCAATTTGTGGAAATATCTCATTTAGTTGGACTAAAGTGTATCTGGTATGAGAGGGGTAAGAGTAAACAAAATGTTTTCCAAGGTCAGGGAGTTCCAGGTGCCTTACAAAAAGATTGCTGAAAATAAAAACTATTAGATACTAGAAGGTGTTTCTGAAGTCTGCAGAGACTTTCTCAGGATACTAAGTCAAAATATGCAAGGCATGCCATGGTTTCAGAGGAATCTTCTTGCCTGTAGGGAGATAAACACCAGGGTATGTTGGAGGTTACATTGGTTTAGGAGCCTGCAACCTGGAGCATCAGAGCTCCCTTTGCTCATCACTGGGTGACAGCTATAGGCACTCCATCAAAAGGTACAGAATATTTATTTATTTATTTATTTATTTATTTATTTATTTATTTATTATTTTATTGTCTAAAGTTTTACATAAGTCTCCTTTTCTCCCAATTGACCCACCGCCCCAGTATCTGTGTTCATTGGTTATGCTAATATGCATGGACAGGTACAGAATTTTTAAAGAGCCCTTCCAGTTCTATAATAACATTCTCTGATTCTAGAGTTTCTTTCAGCTTTATGATTTCCTGACTCCCCACTTCCTTGCTTGCTGAGGTTCCTGACAGGCTATCTGCTTCTTCTAGGGAATAGGAAAAACAGTTTGCAGGTAAAGGCATATCATGAGGCAATGCCACAAGAATGATTCCGAAAGAGGTAAGAATCATCAATAGAATTCACATTTAAACATTTCGGTAACATTATCACGGCTATTAAAAACAATAAACATCAAAAAGCTGGAGATAACTGATACAGATTCAGTTCACGTAGTCAATGCAGAATTTCGGTAATAAACTGTAGAGGTCAACAGGCAATATTTAATAGGATGTTTCCATGAACAATGAGTAAAATAAATAGCTCTCTCTTTGGAAATAAAGCCATATAAAAAGTCCAATGGCAATCAAAACACAAGTTTGGACTTATTTGCAATAAATTCCTATTCCAAGAGAATCTATAAATATTGAAAGGGCTTTTCCTTATAATCAGAGGCATATTTAGTTATCCATGTTCATGACTAGTTTTCCTAAATTTCCAACTCCACCATCAAAGTCACTGGTTTGATTGTATAATACTTTCTCTTACTTGAATGCAGTGCAATGGCCAAACCACTGCAGGAAGGAGTGGAAAGAAGTAAAGAACCGGATAATGACAAGGTGACAGGCCAGTAGTACCTTTCATCTGGGTTGCACAGTGAAACTTGTTTCTGTTAATACATGACCAAAGAACTTATATAATTAAACTAGTCAAGATTATCAAGTACTTAAAATTAGGATATCTATTTATATGTAAATGGAATAATTTCCCATGTTAAACACTTGCACAGCAGCTGAAAGGTGTTTTTCAGGCATATCCTAAAGACTACTCACAACACGTGATGCCTACAAGTGATGGATAGAAGAGAAGAGGGCCAGTGACAACTGTGAGCTGAGTGACTAAGGTGGGGCTTCCAACGTCAAGCAGTGCCCTTATTGTCTTTCCATTCTTATATTCTGCAAATGCTCACCTTCTACATGAAAGTACAAAATGATGTATTTACCCAGTCCAGTCTGAGGCTCATTTGGGCTGAGTAGGATTTCAGTTTGGGAAGGCAGAGTTGATGCTTCTAAGCTCATTAAAGGAGAATAACAGAGGTTACCATGGTGCTTCACACACCTTGAGTACAGATGACAGACATGACGGAAACAAGTGGACTTTTTTTTTTAAAGAAAGGAAACTGCAACTCTGCAACAAAAATAGCATTCCTCTTTCTTCCTAATGCCTTAGTTTTTTTTAAAAAATGTATAGAGATGACAGGTTATAAAAATAATTTCAAAGTAGATAATGTCCTTATTTTTTAAATTTTCCCTTCACCTTCCTACCTCCTCAACAGTGCTAGAAAGATATATTCAGTAGTAACTGTAAAGGAAAAAAACAAAGTAATAAAAAAAGTAAAGCTAAGCCAATTCAAGAAGCATTGACTTTCACTTAAATAATGGAAAAAAAAAAAAAACACCAAACATGCAAATGAACATGATGGAATGAGTGTTAATGGGAAATGTGTTGCCAGAGTAGAAAGTATGAACGGATCATTATACAAAATATATTATCTGACATATTCAACACAACATTAAGCTGGCAGAAGATGCAATGTTAGGAGAAAGATGCTTTAGATTTGATAGTTTCACTGACTTAAGAAGATAAAGAGACCAGGTCTTGATATAAAACTGAATGAACAAAGAGACTTCTTGGACAGGGTTATAAATAGAAGAACCAAGAAATGATGTTGCAACATGAATTCACAATGAGAGAGAACCTGAGGTTCTCAGATGATGGTGGCAATGAGGACAAAAGCTGCTTAGGTATGTCATTACCTAACGTGGTCTCAGGTGGTTCAGACACATTTGTAATAGATTCCACAACTGTATCAAAAAAAAGGAGAACAATTTTAAAAATTGCCAGACATTCTGCGTTAGTGAACTACTTTTCTTCAATATCAAAACACCTCATTCTCTTAAGATCTTGCAACATATTTTTATAGACAGGACAACGAATTTAGACAAGAAAAAACAGAACCAAGAGTGGAAATTCTATAAAACAAATCCTCCAACTGATATTTATGTTGTAACTGTTAGTAAGTGGTTGTCAATTGTTATTATGCCCCAATATTTAGATACTACTGAGAAACTGAAATCAGTTTCTGTATTCAGAGAGCCAATTATCATGTTAAGAATCCAAGAAGTTTGAAAGCTCTTCAAATCTAATCAACTGAAGAACAAGTACAGCAGCTTGAACTTCCACGTTCCATGGACATCATATACACTAACTACATTTTGCAGAATTAAATGAATCAAAGCATGAAAACTGTTACCACCTTCAGTCTGTGGCTCCTCTGGCCTGAGTGGCGCTTTGGAAGTGGGATATACATAATGTGTCTCGGCTGATGCTAGGGAGGAAACAGGGGATGTCCGGTTAGTGGTAGGCAGCCCATAGCACTCTGTGATGGAATATTGTTTAATGTGAAAACAACGATTACGAGGTACATTTGGGAGAATAACATTGAGGTGCCTTCTGAAGATGACTACAATTTAAGATGGCAGAATGAAAGCAGGAAATAAAGGCAATGTAGGAACACACACACACACACACACACACACACACACACACACACTAATTATTACAGCAATTTCTACCTGGAGCAAAGCAGCTTGTTTCACTTCCTTACATTAAAAAAAAAAAAAAAAAAAAAAAAAAAAAAAGAATTCTAGTGAAAAAAAGACATGGAATGAGTCCTTGGAAAGCATGAAGATGAATACTACAAATGATATTAAAATGAAAAATAGCATGTGCATATTTATATTGAAAGAGTGGTCAGAACATAAAAATGTAAAAATTGCATTCAGACAGAGAGAACTAAATAAGGAAATTGTGAAACTTGCATCGCAGTAGAGCAGACACTAGCACAATGTTCTCTATGTGATGTTGACTTTCAAGATTCACTGGATGAGCACAGACAAGACATGAGGAGCTTTAAACATCACAAAGCACGAGGGCATTCAAAGAGGACTTCCACAATGAGATGGAGAAAGCACATAGACCTGACTTGCAATTGGAAAAAACTTTTACCGATAGCTTCCTCAGATGACTCAGTGCTAAATGTAACAGATTCCAGGCCTTCAGAAACTAGTAAAAAACAACAATACAAGATGTTACAATTAATCACTATGGGTTGTTGTGAACATTGAACGGATGAATACAAACTATTTAGAAAAGTGCCTTGTCCCTATAACTGCTCTATGCCAGCCAATATGGTAATATGTTATTATTAACACCCAAGGAAGCTCTGATAACGGAATTGAACTCACAATTGTATAAATGTTGTAGGTTACCAATAAAAACCATACTTTGTACTGCCAACATGAGTACTCAAATGCCATTAGCTAATTAAAAGATGCAGCAAGGAGATAAATAAGGTTACTAACATATGCTATAAAAAAAATAAGATCCAATGTTTCAAGATAAATGTTAGGGTGTAACAACAGCATTGCTAAGGATGTTTTAAAAATGTAGTTTTCAATTTTGAAGGCAACGAGGGCAGGTTTATATTGTGTAAAAGCTTTTTTTTTAATCTTTTCCGAAGGGAGAAAAATCTCCTTCCTTGACCGTCACAATTGAACTAGCATTCTTTTCACATTCAGAACAGACTGGAGCTTACTGCTAAGCGTACCACAAACTCATAGCTGTCAGTGAAAAACAAGGATAAAGAATAAAATCAGTTCTTTTAAGTGGTTTTGCGGATTACTTAATCAGATACATGATTATTATCTAAAATGAAACAGAGCAAACAATGAAATAAAGGTAAGTTTTTCTATACTGTTGAATAACATGACTAACATAAACATAATGCATTACCAAGTTAATACCAATATACAATCATGGAAAGAGCATTATACAATATATAGAGAATTGTTAATGTGCATTCTTTTGTGTCTTTTTTTTTTATTTATTTAAATATTTGGAAATACAATCCTTGAAGCTAATCCCTTGAAGCTCACAGTATATTCAGATAAATAAAACAATCTATTTACCAGGTTGACTTTGTGTCATTTCTAGGCTTGGTGATGTCACTGGTCTCCAAATAAGAGTTTGAAGATCAGTAGGAGCTGAAAGAAGAGGATCTAAGATGTCAATTATGTATAATTTGTTTCATAGGTTTTAGACAAGGGTAGCAATGAACTGAAATGCAAAGACCCTCGAAATAGCAGGATGATGGAGAGCTCATGCAGACTCATTGTGATTGAAAGCAGAAATTGGCAAATGATGGCCCTCCTCTGCTTGGCCTGTGAGCTAAGAATGTTTTCTACATTGTTAAATGATGGAAAATATTTAAAAGAGCAGCAGTATTGCATAACAAGTAAAAATAGTATGAAATTCAAATATAGTTTTATGGGAACAAAGACAAATCCACAAACTAAGATGATTCAAAGCATATTTACATATCATTTACATATTGGCTTTGGTTGCCTTCAGGCTAAATTCCAGTAGTTGTGACAGAGACTGAATGGCCTGCAAAGTCTAAAATATTCACTAATTCTTCACATAAGAATTTTTGCTGACCCCTGATCTAAAGCATCCTTCCAAAAAGGAAGAGCCTATTTGAAAAAAATCAGGTTATCTTTAATTATTGCATCTGAATCTGAATTCCCACAAGGGCTTTTAAGAGCTTCCTTCAGCTGATTTCATGACTGTATCATTTACAAAATGCTCAGTATCAGCTAAGAGTGTTTTGTTCTATGTTTCAGTTTGACTGCCCTCTTGGGTCCCCTAAGTAGGGGGTGAGACTTTTTGTTTTATTTTTGCTGTTCTCTCCCTTCCATCTACTAATTCAAACCCTAAAGTTATTTCAAAGTCCAACTATTTTCTAACATAGATCCTTGATTCCTTTAAATATTTCCTCTGCATATTATTACAACTCAATTAAACAAGCTACTTTTGTATAAGTAAATTATCTTATATCTAAGAAAAACTTGAGAACATTTTTTTCCATAACTATATTATCATCTGTTCAAAAGGTAAAACATACTCTTATTTTGATCTCCCCACCCCACCCCACTCAACTGCTAATATGATGCTGAGAGCACAGAGGCCAAGGAAATGTTTGTTGACCTAAACCAAAGAAGCAGCACCTTTTAAAAAGAGATGAGTGAAATGGAAAAGTGAGAAAATTGAATAAGATCTTTTGTCAGAGACAATCCTTATGCAGGGCACAAGATGAATTTGGCTACCACATAGATTTCCCAGCCTGAGTCTTCTGGTCAACCCTGCAGTTGCTGACATGCTAACCATTATTTGCACCTTCCTATTTAGAAGGCATAGAGGTGAGAAGTGCAAGTTAGCAAGACACATATTTGTCACTCCTGGGGCTTGACTGCAATGGTCTGGAAGGACTCTTTAAACCAGAAACCATAGATTTTCTTGTTTTCAATGGAGAAGCGTCAGGAAGATTCAAGTTTGAGATGAGGGTTCCTGCCCACTCCATTGCTTTAAATTTAAAGAAAAAAGATGTTGGGTCACTACAGTGTTTGAAGGTCTAGAAACAACCACCAACATACATAGGACCTATGTTTTTAAAACATATTAGAGTTTCTTGAGTTTATTTCCGAAGTTTGAGAAAATTTACAATACTAATAGAATTTGTTCCTTATCATCATTGAGGGTCTGTTAGAGTTCAATATAATATATAAAATGTATTGATTAAAGAAATAAATATTAACATGCATAATTAGATACACATAGTAGAGAAATTCTACTTAGATTAAGAACAGTTGCTTCACTGTGGTGGAGAATAAGGAATAGACAAATTCATCAAAGGTTGCAGAGCTTGTAATTTATATTTATTAGAATTTGCACTTTCAGGAAGCAACATTTTTTGATAATTTAACACAACAAGGAATTCTCATTCCTTAAAATAGAAAGAGAGTAATGAGAATATCAAACAGACCTTTTAGAAAGTAAAGTTGTTCAGAGAAAGTTCATGTTACTTAGATGACATTGTTTTACAGATTTAAATACCAAATAGAAATTTAAGGTATATTTGATCTTTAGACTCTTCACTGAATCATATAATAACGTTTTAAAGGGGGGTTCATAATAGATAGATGTCCTCAACTGGATCCAAGGACATTTGTTAAAAACAATAGGTAATGCTGGGATTAAGAATCCTGATTACTTATACGATGAAGTATGAAATGGGATGACAATAGTAGTCTAAGAAAGCAAAAGCAACTCTGGCTGTGACAGTGATGGAATGGGTTTTAATGAGCAAGAATATACTTAATGAGGTCATAAAAATAGTTACCTAATGTTCTTGGAGCCTCAGAACTATGAATAACATGTTCAAAGCCTGTGATGGGAACTAACCAAAAGCAACAACATGAAAATTAGAAAGTTTAAACACACATAGAAAGTCTTAATTTTTCTTTCAAAACATTAGTTTCAAAGGACAAACAATTTTTTTTAAACCTTAGAATTGACAAGAAATAAATAATTTCTTTTTAAAGTTTTGGTCAAACTGTAGCTAGGAATAATTCATTGCAGAAGGTAGTCACATTTCTTGAACTCAGTTAAACATCTTATGGTCAATATGAGGTTTTTCAAGGTGTTTGATTTTTCTGACTCTTAATTAATATGAAAGCTTGCTTTGGAAAATCTGTTTGGGATGTGGAAGATGAGATCATTGTGATGTTTTAGGAACTGAAGGAAGAAATTTTGGATTACTCTAGAGAAGGTGGTTTTGTAAATAAGGCTCTTGATTTTCTAAAATATGTTATATTTCCTTGAAATTTAAGGTATATAACTTTTAAAATTAAAATATTTTCTCCTATTTTGTTAATTTCTTTTCATTACTGAAGAGTCTTGAGAGATAAAATACATAAAATTAAGTCAAGGAGTGAAGAGTCTTAATTTCAAAAAAGGTAAAGACTATAGCCAAACTGTAGGTCGTGTGGTCTTAAATTCACACCAAGAAATTTAAATATGCCAAGGAATCCATGGCACTATAGCAATTGTTATGTTCATGTTTAGTTTAGTCTAGAAAAGATACAGATATTACCCACTGCATTTGAAACTTAGCTTTATATGTGAGCACTGCTTAGACAAAAATACATAACAAAAATTCAAATAACACAAACATTCTAATTTAGGTCCATGAATAGCTTTTAAAGTTAGGTAACTTCTTTTAAGATTCTGCAATACTTTTCTTTTGTTTTGATAATCCTTGCCTGAGAATATCTTTCTATTGATTTTTAGGGAGAGTGGAAGAGAGAGGGAAAGACAGAGAGAAGCATCGACGATGTGAAAGAAACATATCTATCATTTGCCTCCAGCATGAGCCCTGACCAAGGCCTGGGCCGGGGAGGAGCCTGCAACTGAGGTACGTGCCCTTGTCTGGAATCAAACTATGGACCTTTGGTCCACAGGCCAACACTCTATCTACTGATCCAAAATAGCTAGGGTGAACCTACAATACTTTTTAAAAAATATATATTTTATTGATTTTGTACAGAGAAGAAGGGAGAGAGATAGTTAGAAACATTGATGAGAGAGAGTCATCGATCAGCTGCCTCTTGCACACCTCCTACTGGGGATATGCCCGCAACCAAGGTACATGCCCTTGACCGGAATCGAACCCAGGACCCTTAAGTCCCCAAGCCGATGCTCTATCCATTGAGCCAAACCGGTCCCTGCTACAATACTTTTAAGAAGAAGAAAAATAAAGTCGAAAGACAGCAGAGGATGATAAGACAGTCCTTTGAAGCTGATGACAATTTGATGATGATGATGATGGAATGGGTAGACAATGGGGAGAAAAAGTTGATAAGAAGCACAGAACATCATTACTTAATGTAAAAATAATATATTTAAGGACTGTGGGAAGAACTGGCCAAAAATAATAGAATAAGCCAAAGAAATTTTAAAAATTCATTTGATGACTAATTTCAGAAGTCAATTTTTTAACTTCAAAACTCAAGAAAAGAGACCCTTGTTCTTTGCAGGTTTAACCAAATGGCCAAGTACCCATTTTTCTCCTTACACATAACATTGTACTCTACTAAATACTATGCTTAACAAGATGTTTGACTATATGACTTTTGCTAATATGGAAGACGCTCCTGGACAATTTTTTGCACATCTGTATAATATATGTTTTTCTAACTCTACAGGGAAAAGCCTTCATCAGTCTACTTGCCCTCTGTAGAAGTTGACATAAATGCCTACTATTTTTGTCTAGTACGGTATTTAAATAACCACAGTACAATTATGAGTTCATATGTTTGAAAACAAAAGGATCAATGCATACTAAATGGACTGTGTTCGTCAAAATTTTAAAGTGGTCCTTGATTCAGTAAGTTAAGAAACATTTTAAAACTCTGTCAGAAGAGTTAGACTACTCTATCACATAAGCCTGTCATTTAAACTTTCAAGACTTTACACATTTAAAATCTTAACAATTAATTAAAAATATTATTCATTGAAATAATATATTTACCAGTACAATCACATGGATACTAATACAATAAAAAAAGAAATAATGGTATTTCCACAATTGATGTGACATAAGCAGTGTAAGTAAGGAATGGATGGAAATTCATGCTTGAAATGAAGCTTTAAAGAGTCAATGCTGTTTAAATATATGCACATGATCATGTGACACAATGTTGAGAAGTTACATGGCAGTTTGATGTCCTGAAATTAGTTATGTACAGTTCTCTTAAATTCAACAGTTAGCTTGACATAGAGCTAAACATAATTTCAAGATGAAGACTGTTATGGATTAACAACAGAAGATGTTGAGATGGTTTTAAGATGAAGGAGAACCTATTACTATTATACAATGGTATGACAATGAGTAGGAAAAGCAGTATTTGAAGGACACACATTCTCATTACCTATGATTTCTGGAGCTTCAGTTCTAGGGGTACCAGGCTCAAGATCTGTAATAGGGACTAATCAAAAAGCAATGAAATAAACACTTGTGAGAGTCAGCAAAGTTAACCTTACACATATAATATTGTTTTAAGAGGTGTAAGCAGTTTTAAATGCTGCTTTTTTTCCTGAAATTAAATACTTGTTATTTAAAATCTCGGCCACCATATAGCCAAGTAATTGTTCTTTTATGAGATAGTCAGTCATAGGCTAACACAAATCTGATTAAGTATCTCAATAAAGTCAACATGATACTTGTAAGTACCTAATTCCAACTATTATAGAAGACTGCTCTTAGAAACTTGTTTAAACATTTTATTAAATACTGGAGGCCCAGTACACGAATTCATGCACTGTTGGGGTCCTTTGGCCTGGCCTGTGCCCTCTTGCAATCCAGGACCCCTCAGGGGATGCTGGACTACCGGTTTTGGCCCAAACCCAGCAGGCCAGGATGAGGGATTCCACTGGTGCACAAATCTGTGCATATAAGATCTTTGGTTAATCTCTTCCGGCCCTAACCCTCTTCCCTTCCCTCTGAAATTCATCAGTCTGTTCCATGTTTCCATGCCTATGTGTTGAGCATCTGCCCCCTGGTGGTCAGTGAGTTAAGTGTCTGCCCCTGGTGGTCAAATAGTTGAATGGTCACTTAGGCTTTTAATTATATAGATATATTTTGATAACCATTCTGGCACTCAGAATGTGGGAGCTTTAAGAAAATAGCATATCTAAAGAATCATATAATAAATCATGCTTATATTTGAAAGAAGAATAAACAAAGTGAGCCATGTTCATCTCATTGAAAGCTCAAATTTGGAAATAGGCACTCAACAAATCAGGATAAAGAACATTCACTGAGTGTGTGGTGCCCAATAGAGTACCACTCTGATCACAAAAATGGGGTATCCTGTAATACTTGTAGGGTCAGATCCAAACTTCTGAGTCATAATTTCAAGGATTTTTCTTTTACTATTCTTATGGACCCTTCCAAACCCAGCACTATCATCACCATTTAGAAGCAGGACCCCCCTTTTCCAGAAGCCCGTGCCTCTGGTTGGCCCCTGTACCCCCTTTATTCTGCCTGTTCATTTTCATGATTTTAAGACCTAACTTGCTTCTAACTCCTCACTCCTATCCTTCACAAACTTCTCTCTCTTTGCTCATAGATGCTTACAGCCTCTGCAAAAAGAACAAACTAGATATTAAAAATGCTTGGTTCTATTTAAGATATTTTATCTTTAATAAAAGAATATAATGCAATAAGAAAAAGTAAATAAAGTATCTATTAAAAGAGAAAATAATTTTGCAGGAAGCACAAGGAATTCATCTGCCACACAGGTCTCCCCCAACCATGATTTCCTTTGCTAACTCAACGGTGGGAACAGCAGATCACCTTGTGCCTTCACCCACAGAGGGCTCACAGGGGCTATCACTCCCATATGGGCATCGACCTGAGGCTCCCCAAAGCTGTTAGGACCCAGTCCCTTAACCAGAAATCCACATTTACCCAATTTGGTTTGAGGTGCCTCAGTAGTTGGTTTGGTTTTATGTTTGGGATGACGGGTCCGTTTTGATGGCTTAGGAGCTGAAGAAAGAAAACCTTCAGTTACTATGGAGTCTATAGTTCAGAAGTTATGGATAGCATTATGCACGGCTCTCAATTTCCTAAAACTTATCGGATTTCCTTATACTTTAGGAAATGTGTCTTTTTAAGTTTTTAATTTATAATTTTCACCCCTATTATAATAATAGTATTTCTTTTACAATTAGAAGTTCGTTGGAAATAAGTCATATACTATAAAATTGTTACTAACTCAAGAAGTGAAGAATCATTTTTATGACTCTTCTGCTGAAAAAAAAGGGTAAGAATCACTGCTAAAATATTATTGTGGTGGTGATACCCATACACAAACTTTGACATTTTACTAAATAAGACCACGTAATCAACTAAAATGTCCATCAAAGAACAAATATCACATAGTTTAAAAAAAGTAGATCTCTAGATCCACAAAGAAACTCCCGGACACCATAGTAGTTGTTAGAGTCAAAATAATTGCTTTTAAATCCAGCTTTAACAAACATTGGTGGAAAAAAAACACACACAAAATGATTAAACAATTGCAGATGGTTATATTTATATAATAGATGACTCGAGTTAGGTTCATGCATGGCTCTCTGAGAAACAAGGTATACCTTGTTTTAAGAATCAAAATCTTCAATACTTTTATGATGAAGAATATAAACCAGTAACAAGAAAGAATGACAATGAAACTTTAAGAAACAAAAGAACTTGTAGCTACGATGTTGATGGAATGAGTCTGACAATGGGAAGGAAAGCATTTAGGGAGGATCACAATGTGTTATTACCTCGTGTTGTCACCCAAGCCTCAGTTCTGAACGTTACTGGTTCAAAGTCTGTAGTAGAAACTGACCAAAAGTATTAAAAGTAAACCAAATGATTGTTTTAAATGAAGGAAAATGCAACGTTTGATTCAAAATGAATCTTACTAATATAGTTTCTAGAACTATACAGCATCTTCTAAAAACTGTTAATTTTTTTTTAAATTTGGTTATACCTAAGTCGGATACTTACTTTCTTATCCCCCCCTCTTTGATTATCTAACTAATAAGCCAAAGTGGGATGTATGAGTATTGCTAAGAACTTATCTTTCGAAAGACACTGAGGTCTCCGCATAATGAATCAGATAGTGAATCCCTCTATTCCAAGCAAAGAAAGAGCATGACTTCATGTGCAAAGAAGAGTTTTCTGTCTACTGAGTCAAATCTCAACGGCTCTATTAGGTGCCTAGGGAACACCACCATGAAAGTCCATGGACTGATCTTGATCCAGAAAATCTTTGACTACCACCCTGAAGTCAGGCATTCTCTTTACTAGTATTGTGATTAGACCTTTTCTTTTGGTTAGTCTCTATTTGTATCCACTCTTTCTGATTTTATTCCTTCCCATCTTTCTACTCATCCATGTATTATGATGATTTCAAGGCTCCACTCTCTCTTAATCTATCTTTTCCTGCTCCAACTATTACTCCTGAGATCCTGCTGGATTAGGTTGTTGAGACTCTAAACCAGGAATATGTGTTTACCTGGTTTGGACTCAAGTGTTTCAGAACCTGGTGTGGTTTTTGGTCTGGAACATGGACGGCCCTTCCGTCGTGGTGGTTTGGAAACTGAAGGAAGACATTCTTGGGTTACTACATAACTACATTATCTATTGTTCTGGATGCTATTAGAGGTCAAAACATGTCTCTAGATTTTCCACAACTTGTTAGGTATTCGCTTTTTTACTCTGAGATTTTTGTCATATATATACTCCTCATATCTTCTTTTATCATAGAAAATTATTTGAAAACAAAAAATACTTTTAAATTAAATAAATAAAGATTAGCAATTATAATCAAAGTCTCATAAGACAGTTTGATTAGGCAACAAAAAGGTTAAGAACTGTCCCTAAATTTTAATGAATAATAAAGGTCGTACTAAGTCTAAGATTTATAATTTAATCTTTCATTTTTGGGCACATGTTTACATAACTAGTAAAATAAGGACATCATTATAGAAACAAAACAACTATTAAATAGAAACAAACAAGCAAACAAAAACCCCTCAATTCTATGCAAATAGAAAAAAAGTTAGAAATGTAGACATGCAATAATGGGTCCTCTTGGCCCTATGATAGCTGTTAATGGCTTTTTTTGTCTAGATAAGAGGTAGAAAGCCATGATATGTTTGAAAATCAGTTTTACTACAAACATTGCTTAAATAAAACAAAGACTGACATGACACAACTTCAAGTAGGTTATATGGCAAATAAATGTTCTAATGTGGTTTATGTATGACTGGTTCTATTAAAAACAATAGGTAATTTGTTTTAACAGTTTTCATAAATTTGCTTAATCTCTTCATCCTTCTATAAAGACTTACAGACACAGACAAATGATGATTCTCAGAAGGAGGGAGATGAGTGGGGGCAGGTAAAAGAGGGTAAAGGAGGGATAAATCGTGAAGGAAGAAGACTTGATTTGGGGTAGTAAACACATATTACAATGTATAGATGATGTAGTATGGAATTGTATATCTGAAACCTATATAATTTTATTATCCAATGTCACCCAATAAATTCAATTAAAAACAGTTTTCATAATTTTGAGAAGAATATAAATGAATGACTATGAAGGATGACACTATTGTTACATGAAGAAAGATGAAACTCTGGATTTTACAATAATCAGGAAAAGTCTTATTGAAAACACAGGGTATCATTACCAAATGATGTTTCTGTGGCCTCTGGTCTAAAAGTGACAGGTTCCGGGACTGTAGCAGGAACTGACCAAAAAATACAATTAACCAAAGAGATTCTAAAATATGTGAAAACTTAGAACATTCACATTGAAACAATCTTACTTGTATATAGTACTTTTATAGAAACAAAAAAATAACTGAGAAAAAGAGTACATGTTTGTTCTTTGAAGACTTGGCCCAATTATATTCACAGCCAGATTTAGGATTAGCCTTTGAACTAGCTTGGTATCTTAAAGAAGTCAACATGAAATTCTTCTGGGTATAGAAAACCCTACATGTATTTTCTAATATACACACAGAAAAGAAACTATCTATTAAAAAATCTGATCAACTTTTACTTCTATGGAAACTGAACATGAATTTTTTCACAATGCTTAAGTCAATATGGATAAATAAGTAGTTTGTAAGTTTGAAATAGATATAAAAATTAATCACTGAAGTGTACTATATTGATCTTTCTAAGAACTCATCTATGGAAAGAATCCAGAGTCCCCTGTTCAAATCATGGTACATAAGAGAGCAGAATAAACATAGTCACTCCGTCTATAATACTCAGCCAGATGGCCTAAGCCCAGATGAAGGTGAGAGACAGTTGATGTCTCTGTATGAAGTCAAAGCTTCTGTTTCAGGTCCTCAAAATCCTCTTTCGACTCTGTCTAGATGGACCCTTCCAAATACAGGGTTGTCAACAACCATGTTTTGGTTATTTTGAAGTAGGAAAGTCTGTTTCAGGCAGACTGGATCACCCTCAGGGCTGACCCAACCCCTACCCTATCTTCTAGTATATGTCCAGTCCTTCTTTTGGTTCACTTTTCCCTCCATTCATTCAAATCCTGTAATGCAGCGTTTTTCAACCGCTGTTCCTGGTGTGCCGTAGGTGCAGACAAGACAAGAATTTTATAATTTTTCACTATTTTGTTTACTTAATATTTCATAATAAAGTAATTATAAAATACTTTCTTTGTGTTTATTTGATTCCTATTCAAGAGAATTACTTTATATATAGTCAATATAGGCACAGAGTTAAATTTTTTAACATTTTCTAATGGTGGTGTGCCTCGTGATTTTTTTCATGAAACAAGTGTGCCTTTGCCCAAAAAAGGTTGAAAAACACTGCTGTAATGGGTTCAAGGCTCAATTTACATTGATCTTTTCTTTTGCAAGATCAATATTTATCTATAGTGTTTGTATTATGCAAACATGTATTCAACTTTACTGTTTTAGAAATAAAATAGGTCTCCTGCAGCTGACAAATCACCCACAATTGCCTATATCAGTCCAGGTATATAAAAGGGGCCTACAATTTGTTTACTTACTTGAACTGAATATACTGGCTAGCTAGAGAAGTTTAAGATTTGAATAAAATTTGATAGTAAGAAATATACTAAATGCATATCAAAGAATATTTTCACACGTTATCTCACACAGTCATATTCTCCTTGACACCTGGGAGGAGGAGACATTATTGACTCTGCCTCATGACCTCACACTTAGAGAAAATAAGAGCTTGACACTGCTTTGCATTCTCACTAGGCTACTAGGACCCATCCTTAAATCAAGGAATCACACATTTACCAGGCTTGGTCTGAGGCACTTGAGGGCTCAGTGTAGATTTAGGTCTGAGATGTGGAGGACGGGGTCTTTTTGGTGCTTTGGTAGCTGAAGAAAGGAAAGACTTGTGTTACTCTAGGTCTAATGGCTTTTTACACGAAGGGGAGGTTTTTCCCAAACCTGTTAGATTTCCTAAAGTTGCAGGAAGTTGTCTGTAGTTTAAAATTTTTACTCATTTTATAGCAATGTGTCTTCTTATTGTCATGGAGGGTACTTTGGGGCAACCTCATCACACATTCAAGTCATGAAAATTAGCACTTGGAATCAGATTCTCAGAGCATTTTCTCACTGGGAAAAAATGATTGAGAAGGAGTGCTCAACTCTGATGCAAGAGGAGGGGAAGTTAGGGTCATACTAAGGAAGAGGTGTGTAATTTAAAATTGCAGACATGGGCAATTCCTTATTTGTCAAATTAGTAACCAAATATATCAGTACTTCAAGTACCAAGAAAGAAACAAAAATAACATGCAAATAGTTTTAAACAAAATCTAGAAACTTAGATGCCCAAGGGAACATTAGAGCTGTTATTGAAAATCAGCCAAGTTAAGAAATAGATCCAAATTTGTTTTAAACTCAGCTTTAACACAGAACACTACTCAAAGAAGCATAAGATAACATGACAGTTTCAAAGGCACCACATGACAGGTTCATGATTTGGACTAAGTTCATGCCTGCTCTCGTAAAAACAACAGGAAGCTTGTTTTTAAGAGGCTCCAGCATTCTTCAGATGAAGGAAGTGCTTGAATGGCAATGGAGGAGGATGCAGGCTGTCTCATGAACAAGGAGTGTTATGGGAATGGAGAATGAGTGCACTGTATGATGAACAGCAAAAACAGTAGACGAATGGCAGAGGCATTACCTAATGTTGTCCCAGAGGTCTCAGTTGTAAAAGTAACAGGTCTGAGCTCTCTAATAGGAACTGAAATAATAGAAATAAAAAAAGGTTTCAAGAGCTGCATTACTTCAAAATGAATTTTCCAGTGTCCTAGCACCTTTAACATAATTTTTAAAAATTCTGGATGAAGGTAGTTATGGACTGAATTATGTCTTCCTATGACTCACATGAAGCCTTCACTCCCAATGTGACTGTATTTGGAGATGGGGCTTTTAAAAAAGCAATCAATGGTAATTGATGGGTGAGACCCCAACCCAATAGGACTAAAGTACTTCTAAGAAGAGGGAGATGAAGAGCCTTTGTGCGAGAGAAAAGACCATGCAAGGACATAGCAATATGGTGGTCATCTGCAAGCCCAGGGGAGGGACCTTAGGAGAAATCAAACCTGCTGACACCTTGATCTTAGCATTCTAGGCTGCAGAGTTGTAAGAAATAGATTTCTGTTGTTCAAGCCACCCAGTCTGTAGTGTTTTGTTATGGTGCTTTAGCAAACAAATACAAAGAGAAATAACTTTCTTTGTCCTGATTTGGCCAAACTATAGTTCTCAATATTTTCATCTCAGGAGCTAGTCATCACTTTTGGTCACTGTTCAGCACCTGTTCCCTCTCATACAGGGGCAACACAATTCAGTGCAGAAAGAAGACATTTCTGATGCCCATGAGAACAACATCAGCCTCCTCCAACTTTCACGGTGTCATCCAAATGCAGAATCACCAACAAAAATACCCTGGCTGATAGAAGAAGCAAGATCTCTCCCCCCACTGTTTGCTTCTAACAAACCCTATTCTTTCATCTTTCTTCACTCCCACCTTTCCATTTGTGTAAATTCTGATGTGACATCAAGGTCCAAACTATATCCCTACTCTACGGAAGCCCAAAATGGATTTTCATTTCTTCAAGATTTTATAGGATGCATCTAACACTTAATGTTTATGTATCCAAGAGAAATCTTGAATTTGTGCAAACACCCTGACCTTTTCTCATTCTCTAGGCTTTTACTGCAGGAAAAGTTTTTCTGCTTAATTAGCCTGAAGACTGAGAAGTAAAACGTGTCTCTACTACTCAGACTTAGAGGAAAGATTATGTCTCTTCCAAACATAAACTCCTTGACAACCCTGAAGGAGGAAGGACTTCATGATTCCCTCTCCAAGGGGTATCTGAGTTTACATTCTCCACCAGTGACTGGTTCCTAGGTTCTTTAAACCAAGGATCCTGCTTTTAACTAGTGTAGCTTCAGATGCATCTGGTCATGGAGTGGTCTTAAGTGTGTGTTGTGAATGACATGTCCATTGGGATGTTTTGGGATGTGAAAAAAACATAATTTTTAGTTACTTTAAAGTTTATGGCTGTGAAAAAAAAATCGTAAAGTTTTCTGAAACTTGATAGATTTTCTTGAGTTTCAGGAAATGGATCTTTCTAGTATAAACAAAATTTCTTCTGCTTTATTAATGTATCTTCTTTTGTTATTGAAGATGGGTGTGTGTGTGTGTGTATGTGTGTGTGCAAAATTGACATAAAAATGAAGTTATTAATTCAGGGAATCAGATTGGTATTTTTCACATTATCTTAGAGTTCCCTGATTACATTTAAAATGTTAAGAATCATTTCTTTTTTTAAAAAATATTTTTTTATTGGTTTCAGAGAGGAAGGGTGAGGGAGAGATAAAAATATCAATGATGAGAGAGAATTACTGATTGGCTGTCTCCTGCATACCCCTTTTGGGGGATTGAGTTCGCAACCAGGGCATGTGCCCTTGACCAGAATAGAACCTAGGACTCTTCAGTCTGCAAGCTGATGCTCTATCCACTAGGTTAGGGCAAGAATCATTTCTAAACTATGGTGGAGAATAAGGGAGAGTCAGATTAGTCATAAGGATGGAGCTTGCCATTTAAACTTATGAGCCTTGATCACATTGTCTTTTAGGCAACTCACTAAAAATATACTACCAAAATGTTAACAAAACAACAAAAAAAAACAAAAAACAGGTAGATAAAAATGTATATGTACAAAGAATGAATAATAAAACTTTCCTAATTCTTGTTAGCATAGACCAAGATCAGGAATATATGTAATTTACCTTAACAGAACACTCTGGTTAATCTAAAAATGTAAGGTGGCATGAAAAAATGTTAAAGTACTGTACAGGGCAAGAAGCTATTCCAAATTTAGATTTAGGCATGGCTCTCTTAAGAACAAGAGGTAACTTGTTCAGCTCATAAATTGAAGAATTTAGTTGAATGGCAACAAAGTGGAACAGGTCTGACAATGAGCAAAGAAAGCACTTGCTGAAGGTCAGAAAGTGGCATTACCAAATGCAGTCCCTGGAGCTTCTTTTATAGGAGTAAATGGTTCAAGGACTAGAGTAGGAGTTGACCAAAAAGAATAACAAATGGTAAACATTTATATAATCTCAGAACATTCACTTCAAAAAGAATTGTACCAAAGTAATCATGTGTCTAGAGTACAAAGCAAACACTACCAACCCTCTGAGCTGAGGGATATGGCATCTCTGCACTCAGGTACCAATGTCATTTTGAGACCATCTTTGTACTCTGGATAACTATTCCCATGGAGTGCCCCTGAAGACTCTCACTCACTTTGATGATCCTAGTCTAAGTAATGCCTCAAAGTAGACCATACCTATCTTGCTGAAAACTCAACTTTGAAAGAGACCATCAGGATACTTAAGAGAGCAGCATAAGGGGCACCCATTCTATCTAAGGTAGCAGGGTATCTATCCTTCTGTCCAGTGCTTAGAAAAAGCTGGACCATACTTGGATACTGATGATTCTTATGAAATCCAAACTCCTAAAGCCAACGTTCAAAATCCCCTTTTCAACTGGCCCAATAGGCTCATTTATCTGCTGCAATCTCAATGAAATGCTCTAATCGCCACTGAGAAGCCTTTGCCTTCTCTCCCTGGCTTCTACACATGTCCTTCCTTTCTGTACTTCTTCACCCAACTTCCCCCCACAACTATGCCCCCTTCACCAAATCCTGTCATGGCTTGTTTTCAAACAGCCCATGAGAGCAAAAAATCATTTTTCTACCCTATCTTAAGTTATATATATATAAAAAAAAGGTGGGAAAAATAGCCCCCAAAGCCCCAAGTATTTACTATCCAGCCCTTCAGGGGGGGTGGGGGGATGTTAAAATGTTTGCTAACCCTGGCTCTAGATCCTTATTACGACTTTTTAAAAATGTTGTTTTTATTGAATTTTTTTTTTTGAGAGAAAGAGAGCGAGAGTAAGAGGAATAGAGAGACAGAAATGTAGATGAGTGAGAAATATCATTGTTTAGATGCCTCCTGCACACCCTGGGGAATTGAGCTTCCAACCCAGGCATGTGCTCTGACTGGGAATCAAACCAGTGATCTCTTTGTTTTCTGGTTGATGCTCATCTACTGACCCACACTGGCCTGGTGATCCTTACTATGATTAATACAACCTTTATAGTTATCAAGAAATAATTTCCAATTTGCCCAAACATATGTTGTTCTGTAGTTGTTTCAGTCCATGATACAATTTCAATATTTAAAGAATGAGTAGAATCAAATAAGAAGTTAAATAGACAGTTAGAAGATGCAGATTCACAATGTGTAGGGAATCTGGCCACCACCTAAGACCTCCCTGACCGTGTTCTCAAGCCTGCTGTGGAGTGGAAGCTGCTGAGCCAGACTTGTCCCTTCCCTTTCTCTGGACCCCACGGGGCTGGGCTTCCAGGACGCCTCATCCAGGATCTACACATTTACCTAGTTCGGTCTGAGGAGCTTCAGGACTTGGTGAGGTTTTAGGTTTGGGACGAGGATGGCGAGTTCGTTCAGGCACTTTGGGAGCTAAAGGAAGAAAATCTCTGGTTAATAGTGTGCTTTTGTTCCAGAAGCTGTAAATAGGTTATGCTTGTTATAGTTGGCCTCATTAAAACAAATGAGTTGTTTTAATACTCTTCAGTCTATTAAGAAGTAATTGAATGACAATGGAGGATGACACAGAAGTCCTGTGAAGCGGGAAGATCCATGGTTGGGAGGGTGATGGAATGGGTTGAAATGAGCAGGAAAAGCAGATGCTGGTGAACATGTGTCATTACCTAGTGTTGTTCCAGGAGCCTCGGTTCTAGGAATACCTGGTTCAAAGATTGTGTCAGGAACTGATCAAAAACAATAAAAGAAACCAAAGAGATTTTTTTTTTGTGAATTAATGAAATGTCAGAAAATTTATCTTGCCAGTAAAAATAATGCTTCTAAGGGAGAGGGGAAGGGGGAGGGGAAAGATGGATTACACAAAAGCTTTAACACCTAGAGGCAGGAACTATGGGGGTGGGAGATGAAGTGGGGTGAGAAGTAGGGGGCCACCCTAGAATCTATCTACCACACATACAACAGAGAGCCCTAAAGGAAGCTGGGACTATACTCACTAAGAGACTAATCCATAGTGAAAACAATGGCACAAAATATAAATAAGATGAGGAATAACCTCTCAGAATGGGTATCATATTATGCTAGATGTCCTCAGTTCTAAAAAAGCCCACTGGATCAAATTTAAGCTCTAGAATAGATATCCCAGACTCCCTTTACATATATATATATATATATATATATATATATATATATATATATATATATATTGATTTCAGAGAGGAAGGGGGAGGAAGAGAGAGATAGAAACATCAATGATGAGAGAGAATCATTGATTGGCTGCCTCCTGCATGCCCCCTACTGGGGATAGAGCCCACAATCTGGTCATGTGCCCTTGACTGCAATCAAACCCAGGGCCCTTCAGTCCACAGGCCGAAGCTCTATCTACTGAGTCAAACTGGCTAGGGCCCAGACTCCCCCTTAATTCATCCCATGAGCCCATTTAACAGGAGGGCATCAACAAGTCATCCTCTGTTTGGTATGCCAGCTTCAACAATCCTCGCTTGTCTTCCACTAGTCCAAATTCTGTTCTGATTTCTTTCTAATTATCCTGGATTTTTTCTGTTCCAAATACTTATCACACTCCTAGCATACAGTAATTGCACCATCTGAGAAGTTATTTTACATTCACATAAACATGCTGCCTTATGTTATTTTCTACTGGTTTATGCAGGAACAGCCTTTGTTTACAACTATAAGATATTACCAACTGACTGGGGAAATAAAACATACTCCTACTTCTAATATAGATCACAACTGCTACTATGGTTATGGAGGTTTAGAAGGGATTAACGAAAGTATTGTAGTTGAATTGATTGTAATAGGCTCGTACTTTACTGAGCAAGCTTTAACATGAATGGACTCCAATAGCAAAAGGCACATTGATGGAGAAGATTCCCACACAGGAGGCATGGGGTACTCAGGTCATGCTCTCCTAACCAGCAGGTTTTACTCTTAATAGATATATAGGGCATGTATCAATTATGTGCATAGAATTTAGGGTCCCAACTTGGGTGGACTGCTGGGATTCCTTAAATGAGAAACCACATATTTACCCAGTGGAATCTGAGGTACTTCTGGATGGGGTGTGGTTTTTTTAGGTTTGGGATATGGACGACGGGGTCTCTTTGTTGTTGTTTGAGCTGAAGGAAGAAAAATTAGTATTAATATAGTGCTGATGGCTCCATAAACTCTGAGTAGAATGATATAAAATGGCTCTAAAATTTGTAAAAATTTCTTGGAGTGGAGAAAACTGTTACTTTGGTTTGAAACTTTCTCCTTTAGTATATTAATAGGTTTTCATTTATAATTAAGAGTTCTCCAGAGATTAAAAATTACATTGTAATCATGTTAAAAAAATAAAGATGACAAACTCTCATTTTCTTGAAATGCACTTAATCTAAAACTGATTACAATCACTGCTAAACTATGATGGTGTGAGAGGAGTTCAAACTACCCTGCGTTTACTTATAATAATTTAAAGTGATTAGGCTTGGACAAATTTTCCACCTGGTAATTTACTAGACTATAGTATACAAAATTTGCTGAAACATCAACAAAATAAAAAAAAAAGTTACGTAGAACTTGAATGTAGAAAGTGAGATACTTAGAGAAACTTCATGGTATTACAATTGATACTGTACTGGTGGTCTCAATAAGGGACAGATAGATAAACACACTTGGACCTCAGCTCTAACAAACAATACTATTTAAACAGGGATGCGGTTTCAAGCTGGGATATGGAAAAGACATCTGTCCTGAATTAAGTCCATGCCCATTTCTGTTAGAAAGAAAACTGTTTCGATTTTAAGACGAATACTGTAACGGATGACCCATTTGGACCTCATCGTCTATATAGCACGCACCACAGGTAAGTTTGACAGCAAATGTGAAAAGGCTCAGTAGATAGAGCTGAAGGACATAAAGAATCATTACCTAAAGATGTCCCAGGAGTAACAGGTTCAATGTCTGTAGCAAGAAATGATCAAAAATACTTTTAAAAAGAAATGTTAAACACTGGGAAAAAGTTGTCAAATTCTCTTGAAAATGTACTTGGTCAGAATCACAGAGAAAAATGTAACTCAGTGGTCAGAGAAGTAAATAGATACATAGGCACCAAGTAGATACCAAGCCCTGTAAGGGAGTCACCGGTATTGGTGAGGGCCCTCACCCTTGAGGGTCACAGAGGCAATTAGGTGGCAATTTTAACTGCCATCCAGTCTCACATCCAAAAGGTCCCACAGGCATCCGGAGCCATATATTTACCTAGCGCGGTTGCAGGTGCCTCTGGGCTCAGTGTGGTTTCATGTTTGGGAGGTTTGGGATGTTTTGGACGTTTTGGACGTTTTGAAGGCTTGGGTCGCCGAGGACGTGTTCTTGGTGGTTTTGATGTTTTTGGAGCTGAAGAAAGGAAACTAGTCAATATCAAATAACTCCAGAAACTAAAGAAGGATTTATACATGGCTCTAGGTTTTCTAAAAACTTTGCTAGATTTCTTTGAGTCTTGAGAAAATTTCCTCTTTATTTCAAATAATTTCTTTGTCATCCATATGCAAAAAATACTTTTTTTTTGGGGGGGGGGGAGTCTCCTAACATTTATTTTGAAAAACTCTGTATAACATTATTTGAATAATGTTATTCTGAAAGCATTATTATTATCGTTAGAGTAAGATTTTCAACAATGACCCTGACCACAGAAAGTCAGAGCGCAGCATGTACTTGTGAAGTTAGAAAGGGACCCAGGCTCACCAGCTTCTGGGGGACTTTACTTAGCTACAACTTCGGTTAGGCATACATCCCATGAAACATGATTGGGAAAAGCACATCTCATTACTTAAAATCCTTGGTAGACAATAAAAGTGCCTCTCATATTTTTAAACAACTTTCTGTTGATTTACACAGAGTTATAAATTATGTTTATGGGGCAGAATTGTATTTGAAATTCAGCTTAATCACCGAACACTGAGCAGACTCACAGGCTCTGTAAAGTTTTAATAAAGCTGGATAGAATGGGAGAGAGATGTTTTGCATTAGTTGCAAATAGGCTTATATTCTAACCAAGTAACTTGGTTAGACATCTTCAATACAAAGTGAAGGATCTAGTGGAATGACAAGAGAGGATGATGAGAAAAATCCTAGGAAAGAGAAAAGCCCCTGACCAAGATAGTAATGGCAGAGGCCAGACAATGGGCAGAAAATGCACTTGCTTCAAAACATAGAAGGTCATTACCTAATGTTGTCCAGGGAGCCTCAGTTCTCAGAGTTTCAGGTTCAATGTCTGTGGCAGGAACTGACCAAAAGCAATACAATGAGCAATGGAGATTAAGAAACACAGGGAAAAATTTACCTTGAAAATAAATCTTCTCAGCTCTGCAATGTTTAAAAAGTAGTGCTGAACTCTGGAAAAACAGTATTTGTTTTCTAATAACTGACAGTACTCTGGTATCCATTTATCTCACAAGATAGTCACACACTTTTCACTTTTGAATCCTTATGAGGCTAATGAGAAGCTTTTTTTCTTTTCTTTTTTTTTTTTTTTTACTGTGTTTAATTATCTGATTCCAACTATACTATAGTAGAAACTTGCCCCTCCCCCCAAAAAAGATAATTAGTCTGATCTCTATATTAAATTACTCTGAAAATTTATTATGAAAACCTCTGTTAGTATCTGAAACCCTTTTACAATCATTATTAATATATGTTTTGAGGAAAATTGGTAGTAGGGAGAATTTTTTTAAATCTTAGTCTGTTTATCAGAAATCTGTGTCAGTTATACAAAAGTTAAACTTTTGCCTTTCTCCAGAATAAATGTGATACACTTTTTTTTTTACTGTTTCTTATTTATTCATTTATTTCAAATGAATAATTAGAAGATAATTATTTAAGTGAGAAACAGATGATTAAGAAAAATTTCTGAAGAGCAATACTTCAATTTTTTGTCTGGATAAACAGGATGCCTAGAATTCTGTAAAGATTACATTATGCATAGAGATGAAGTTAAGATTTATTAACTCTAGTTTTAAATTAGTCTCTATTTTTTAAATTAAATTCAGAAGGTTAAATATAACATTAAAACATTTTTATCACTAAAAACCCTGTAAGCAATTATATGAAGATTGTTTTTATTGACTATTCGAGACACATATCACTGAGTTGGGTGAAGCCACATCTGAGAACATTTTCTGAACGAATGGAAAACATGGCAGACAGAAGAGAGGGAGAAAGTGAGAACAACAGGATGAAAACCATATTCAAAACTGACTGCCTTCAAACAAAAAAGGGGGGGGGGTCCTTATTTTGTTTGGAATTTAGCATCATAAGCTGAATTTTTCAACAGAAAATTGACATTCATCCAAGTTGTGTTTGAATAATATGGAATCAAGGAAGCAAGAGATTTGTCAAGAAAGGAATAATTATGAATTGCATCAAGCCCCAAACAGCTTTTTCATTGGTCCCCTCCCACATTTATAAATTATACACACAAAAACAGAGATCGCAACAATTTCCTGGTTTAAAGGATGGATGGAGAGACTCCTGACAGCATCAAGTGCTGGAAGCAATGTGAATGCCTCCAAAGATGACCCCAGGAAGAGTAACACTCTTGGGTTGTGAGCTGAGCAGATGCCAGATGGCATCACCATGTTTCAAAGGTCCCTAACAACGTTGGAAATGAATGAAAAAGATGGGGAATACACAAGATTTAGACTCAGCAAGCTCAGAGAAACACTGACCAAGAAGGAAGACATCCATCATTACCTATGGTTATGGAGGGAGCTCCAGCCTCCGATGTAACAGGCTCAAAGCCTGCAGCACAAAAACAAACAGATAAAAATGATAAAAGCAGTAAGTCTAAACATTTAGGTGGCCACTGATGCTTAATTCAGAGGCCAGAGAACCTGATATAAATTCAAAAGTGATATAAACTGTCTTCTTGATAGGCTTCATGAGAGATGCTCTTAGTAAGTTAGAGTTTTATACTGATGGGAATCTTAGGAGAAATTTTCAACTGCAAAACAGTTGAATGTTCAGAACTGTTATATAAATATCTCCTTATTTGGGAGGAAATCGCTTAGTAAATAGTTACTGTTTAAAATGTCAATAACGTATCTGAGAGGAGGCCAAGCTCTGATTGTGTGCCCATAAAGGAAGAACGCAGTGCCAGCCTCCCAAGTGCTGCCTGGCAGTGGCCGCTCACAGCGCTCTCAGAAATGGTCCAGAAACAGAACTCCAGGCTCCCATTCATTACAAACCCAGATTCAGAGAACAACGCCTAAAAATCCCTTAACACGTTAAGCTTCCTGTCAGTCTCCAGTGACTGAAATGGAAAGGAAGACAAAACAAGCTTGGTGCTTAACGGGTTAAGCAAACAGTATCTGTCAGTATCAGTTGTAAAATATACTAATTTTCCACACACTGATTTGTTCATTTAAACATTAGTGTGATTACTTTGAGACAATAATGAACAAAATCAAGGTACTTGGGTTTCTATGTTTTATGTGACATTTTCAGCAACATTCTCAAAGAAAGAGCTTCTTAAACTAAAGCATTGGAATTTATGTTTACCGGATTTAGTTGATGGCATATCTGGTTTTGCTGTGGTTTGGGGTTTAGGAAGTAATGGCTTTGGTGGTTTTGAATCTGAAGGAAAAAAGGTGCTATAATTAGTGTCACAGGAGAGCTGTGAATGTCAAGATTAATGTTACTTACACAAATTTTTCCTAGTTATAAATCAAGGCACTGAAAGTAGTGGTTACCCGTCTGGGTTTGAGGTCCGTCTGGTCTGTGTGTGGTTTTAGGTCTTTTGGATGGTTTTGATGCTAAAGAAAAAGGTATTAAATTAGCAAAATGATCATGGCTAGAACTGTCAGAATTAAGGACACATATGCTCGAGCAAATATACTATATAATTTCAGTGAATATATAGCAAAATTAGCTCCTAGGTTGTGGGAAGAATGGGAAATATGTCCAAAAGAAAAACTTTTCAGGAAATGCTCAAAACGTGTCTTTGAGCAAAAATAATGAGAACTGTAATAATATTTATTTTCTACATAAGTAATTTCAAATGTAATAAGTGTAATATTAATAGTTCTGTTTCTTAATTGATTATATATAAAAATAATATGGTAGAAATTTGAAACTTGCTTAGGAGGGGACCTGGGAAATAATCTCTAACACTTGAAATTATATACAATGCTACTGATTTCTGGAATTTTCTAAAGTAAAGTAGTGAGTGATAGATTTATTTTGAATGATAAGAACTTACAATGAACTAATTATCATCAACAGCATTAGTACTAAAAACAATAAAACAAGTTTGGGCCATCTAATATTCTCAAGTTACAGACCATCCAATGTTTATATTGGATCCTAGACCAAGGATAGTATTTGTCCTTATAGTTATCAAAGCATACTCAAACTTTTTCTTCAAAGAAACAAAAAAGCTGGAAAAGCCATTATTTCATGCAGCTTTTAAAAAGAAAGAATGTCATACAAGCTGAATGAGTAAATCAATGAAATGATGATGAGGGCACTGAAATGAAATGTTGCCATTTGTTAAGTTCAGGATGAGCACATAAGCGTCTGTCTGGGAGAGTAGATGGTCTTTTCAACACAAGGACACGTGGGATGGAAAGACAGAGGGTTAGTGAGAAACCAGGAAGTTGTGTCTGAGACCACAGAGCTTCCTTAAATAAGCACACAGGATCCTTCTAGAAGTCTCCTATCTTCAGGTTCTTCAGAGCCAGATAGGAAACTGAGGCGACGCATGGAATGAAAACTGTGGTGATCTGGCAGAAATGCAGTCATGCCTGGGTGGATTTTAGGAAAAGCAAAAGTGACAACGTGAGAGCAGTTGGAGGAGAGTAGAATTACCAATTGTGGGCACCCAGAGCTCCGGTTGAACCGTAGCAGGTTGCAGCGCTATAGAAGTGAAACATCAAAAAGAATAATTACATCAAGAAGCAGCATCTTGAGGAAGGAAACATTACTCCTCAATCTTTACTTAACAGTGTGCTCTATTTGGATGCGATTCTCCCTTTTATTTCCCCCTTTCCCTCATCTTTTCCCTATTGCTTTGCCACATCTCATCTACCATGAATATGCATCCTCCGTAAGATGATAGGGTGCCCTACTTTAATAATACACTTAGTGAGTCAGTTTATTGCTGTGTGTATCTTTAAATGAAATATAAATATGTATATTCATATAACATGAATATGGAAGGTTATTACAGATACTTAAATATAAATATCAACTATAGTGGTTCCTAAAGTCCATCAACTTAGGTAGGAGGTAGCTACTATATCAGAAGCTATCATATTCCACTTTCTGTGTTAATTTAAACCCTCAACATCACATTTACCGGGTTTGGACTTGGGCACATCTGGACTATGTGTGGTTTTAGGGCGGGGGCGACGACTTGGTCTTTTGGTTTTGGATGGAGCTGAAGAAAGAAAATTAGCTAGTTAATACAGGACAAACAATTTTACATACACCTTTGAAGCACATTTAAACTCTTTGATTTATTGTGAATATGTACCCTTCTGTTTTGCACTTTTCTATCATTAAATAATTAGTGAATCTTCAATTATATATTTTTTGAACATTTAAGTGAATCTTCAATTATATTTTTTTGACAAATATTTATAAACAATCACTGTTCAAGAGACCCCCCCAATTCATCCACTTTGAGATGGAAAACCCAGAACTCTGTGTAGCTTAGAGAAAATAGTCTCATAAAAATTTTGAAAGTGCTTGTTCAATAAGAACATGAGAAAAGTTATGTTTCAAAAGCCACTAGGGATAAAAATTAAAATTTCTTTGGGTTAAGAGTCAAATAAAAAGTTTTGCACTTAGCATTAAAAAAATCTGCAAATCATCAAGATATAGTTTGAATTCAAAAATTATTTCAGGGAAAGTATATTTTAAAATTGATAAAACTATAGATTAAAAATGTTTCTCTTGGAATAAGAATAGAAAACACACATAAAAATGAATATTAATGGATTAATCCATTAATGCGAGCCTGTTAATAAAGACACGAGTAGTCAGGAAAAGAGGTCACTCAGTAACTGCATTACCTAATGTTGTTGTTGAAGGTTTGGTTTCCAGTGTTCCAGGTTCTAAAGCTGCATGAAACATCATCAATAAAAAGAATCAAGATCAAAGAAAAAATGATTAATATGAAATATTAATGTGAAATAAATATGAAAAATGTTTAATCTTTAATTACTAAGTTGAACAAATATAAATGAAAATTTTAGCCACATGAAAATTCCCTTTTTTATTTAAATTTGATCCCTGTGCTTTTAGACAAAATGAACAAAAATATAGCCAGTCAGTTAAGTTTGGAAAGAGAACTGGAAAGAAAAAGGTACCATTGTTCTTATTTGGAATATGTGAATGCAATAGAGTAACCAACAGTTCGTGTTATGAAGGAAAATATGGGTAATTGGCTAAGATGGTAGCAGCAGAACGCAGTGTTTGCTCTCTTGAAGAAAAAGAAGCTATAACATCAGGGTTAGTTTCTATATTTCTCTCTTTTATGAATTTCCTAGTGACATATCAGGATATTTAGATCTAGAAAGACCATAATGTATTTCAAGAAAATCTGCAAATGTTAGAGTTTCAAAAGGAAGAAAAACATCTCCAAATGTGAAAGCAAAACATGTCCTAGGAAAGCCATGGTCCTCACCAGATTAAAAGCAGCTCAGGACACATTCCTCTGATATAAGGAAGGACAATGAAGCATTAAAATAAAAATGAAAAGAATGTGTCAAGTCAAAATCAGTATGGCTTTCATGCTATCTCAGAACCTCTACTTTGTTGAGCATGGGCAGAGTTTATCTTCTGGAAAAAATGGCTGAAAGAAAAAGCCAAAAAACAATGAAGGAATAAATTTTTATTTTTTAAATCTCTTTTAAAAAGATACTTGTTATTCATTTTTAGAGAGAAGGAAGAGAGAGGGAGAGAGAGAGAAGAGAGAGAGAGAGAGAGGGAGAGAGAGAGAGAGAGAGAGAGAGAGAGAGAGAGAGAGAGAGAGAGACATTGATGTGAGGCTGCCTTATCAGGGATCAAACCTATAATTTGGGCTGGTAATTGAACCAGTGATCTCTTTACCTCTTGGTTCATGGGATGATGCCCAACCAACTTAGCCACACCAGCCATGGCAAAATAAATTTCTAAAAAGCCAGAGTTAAGGACAAAGTTGAAGATAGAGGGTGTAAAAAAGAGAGATAATTCTTTTTCACTAACTAATAGAAACTTCATTACCTATTGTTGACTGTGATGGTGTTGGAGTCAGAGGTTCCGGGGCTGCAATAAAAGCAAGTATTATCAAAGGCAATGCTGAAGAGCACCATCTAAGACAGAAACTAAATGTCCTTTAGAAGAAAACATATTCTCTCATTGATGAGCAATCAGGTTCTCCTGGCTTAACAACCGAAAAGTTCAACACTCACATCCTCTGCAAACCACAATAAAAGTAAGATTTGAGATTTCTGTATTTTTTTTTGTAGGTTTTTAGCTATTGTATTTACTACCCAATATTCTGAAAACCATTTCTAGTGCTTGAGGAGATACTCCATTAAAGGGAGGTCAGGCAGCTCTGAAAGGTTGTGTGGAGCTCTTGTCCATGCAGGACAGTTGGGTTCGTCCAAGGAAGAAGGAACAGACCTGTACCTGTGTCTGAATTCTGTTAATTTTGGATGACTTTCAGCCTGGCTGGACCTGATATTATTTTATTTAAAAAAATTAAACTTATGGACTAAAAAGAACCCAAAGTGCTCATATGATGTTCTCCAGGTTTATTAGCATTATTGCTGGTGAACAAATAGGTTTACTTAAACAATTTAGTCCATTTTGGTTAGTAAATCAGCAGAAGTCAAAAGGCAGTCTCAGATTTCATTGAAATGCTGAAAAATTGAGTAACAATATTATTTAAATATTCTACCAGATAACAAATCCTCAATGTCAGTCAAATTGGGAGAGAGAGAGAGAGAGAGAGAGAGAGAGAGAGAGAGAGAGAGAGAGAGAGAGAGAGAGAGAGGCAGGCCTAGATAGGAAAAAAATAGTAAGCACCAATACATTAAATATAATAAATATTTTTAAAATATTCACATCTGAAAATAGCCAACAACAAAAATTCTTCTGAAACTTCGAGGTTGTAATTCATGTTTTAATTTCTACAAAGGTGCCTTCTAAAAGAGTGAAAAAGTAGGTAAAATTTACTGCTCACAGCATTTTTACAAAGATTAAAGAATACTGTCTTTTACGTTTTGTAAAAAAAAGAAAATCTGCATTTTTAAATTTCCTGACAGGCAAAGACTACATAGGTATGTATTTCTATCAATTAAGCTTGCAATTCACCTCCATATAAAGAGAGTCAATGTTTATGAAAAACAAATACATTTCTGATGAGTTCCTCTTTTGACACTATTTAGGTATTGTAGATAAAGATATAGAATTGTTCATAAAAAAACAACAACTGAGTGGCATGCAAATAACTACACCACTCACACCAACACAACACAAAGAAATATACAACTTGCTCATGGATTTGTGTCTAGCAATGAGAACAATGTACAATTCCATCCACCACACCTGTAATTAATTGGAAGACTCTCTTTTTGTGTGTGTTAAAAGTTGAAGAGTGGAATGTGAAAGATTAACTGTGAAAGAAACAATTCTAATTGGATGAGCTAGACAAGAAGGGACACAGTAGATGGCTGGGATTTTCAAGAAAGCACTGGATTCTTCTTATGAAACAAGCAAAAACCAATGGTGGTTTTTACTTGTTAGTTTAACCACCAAGGAAAACCAAAGGAAAAGCAGCCTGCTTGGAAAGTGAAATGGAAAAAAAGAGAGTGAGGAGAGGGCTGGGAAAGGCAATGAATCAACTCAAATCAAAAGCTTTTGGTGGTTTATTTGCTCTCCTGAACCTTGGCTAGAAACAAATTTTCAGCAGAGCTGTAACAGTGGCCTGCCCTAAAGTAAAAATAAATAATTTTTTTTTTTATAAAGCTAAAACACAAGTAACAGTTTTCAGACATCTAGTCATTACTCTGTGTTGTGTGTTGCCTCAATGTCAACTTGAGTTGGCATACATTTTGGTGCAGATTCTGAAGTGGCTATACTTGCTGCTAGGAGAAAAAATGTGGCTATTCTTAAGTGATTAGGAGGTAGAAATGAAAGGAACATAAACTCATTAAGCTTCCAAATAATTTTCTACACTTTAAAAGGAAATGTCAAATTAAGAAGTTTCTGCTCAAATACCTTAGAATAATAAGAACACACCCTCCAATTCTTATTTGTATTAATGTACTGCCTGTCAGAAGACTTTTTAGAAACCACTAAAGTTAATAATGTAAATTACATTGTGTAAATTATAATTAACATTTGGAGACATTTTTTGATGTTTTCACATTTTAGTTTGTAATAACAGAAATAATTAGGTTGGAGAAATGTTTATTTAAATTTGGTGACCCAAACATACAGTAATGTTTCTCATACAGTCTGTTTGGTAATAATCTTCTATGCTAATATAACATAAATGTAATAGTTACTATCCTAATCTAAAGTCCTCTAAGCATATTTAAAAATAAATGTACATGAAACCCTTCTCTCATATAGCTGTCTGTGTTCTTTGATTTTAAACTTGTAGAGCTCTTGAATGTCATGAGCTATGCCTCTTTCTCCAAATAGCCTCCCTGAGTAAGAATGCATCATTCCATGTCCTGACTTGGAGGCCTCACCCATGATCACACTCCCTTAATCCCTAATTTTCTTCAGTCTGAGACCTGCACTGCCTCTTTAAAGGCGGTCATTAGAATTTTTTTTTCTGAGCAGTTATTTTTTCTTCCTTATGCATTTCATTGCAAAAAATAAAGTTTGCTCACTTAAGAAAAAATAACTTGCTTTAATAACTGTGTTTTGTAAACATAAATTAATGAACACTCCATTGAGCATTACAGTGAGAAATATATTCTTCCTAGAGCTAAGGGTTTAAAATTTAGATGAAAATGATGGTAGTGACAGAGATCCATACATATACAATTATGCAAGTCAACATGTAAACTGTTGTATATATTATGAATATAAAATGATGAAGATTCAATCCTTTACTATGTCCCACAACCCTTATGTAGGGAATTAACTTGGTCTTAGATTTTACAGAATAACTCCTCCCTATAAAAGAGCCTTCTTTTCTTCAGCAAAACACCCTTAATATCTCCTGGGAAGTAAACAGAAGTCAGTGTTCAGAAATCAGCCCCAGTAGAGAAAGAAGTCATGGAGCATCAGGGAGATACACACTTATTAGCCTGAAAACTAAGATGCTTCAAACAAGACAGAGTTCTTAGGGGATGAAAAGACCCTTCCCTTTCCAGCTGAAAGGCAATTGTTCAGTGTCATAAGAGTGCCAGTCAACATTGGTACTGGAAACTATTTCATAGTCCTAGACAAGAGAGACCTCAATCATGTATAATACATCATTCTATGTCTGTGTTTTCTCTGTGAAGGTCATGAACATAATGCTCCTCCACACAGCTCAGAGCAGCACTGTGATAACATCAGAGGGGCTGGTAATGATGAGAGCATTTCATTGCATTTTTGCATTTTTCATGGCAAAATGTGTCAAACACCAAAATACAAATCAGAAGTTCTTGCTCCAAAGAGTGGCATAAAACAACGTTTCAATCTTAGTCTTGGAATATTAAAAAAAATCAGGGTAATTACCAGGTTTGATGTGTGTCACTTCTGGACTCAGAGGGATTTTAGGTTTTAAAGAAATAAATTGTGTTTTACTGGGAGCTGGAAAAATAAAGAAACAAAAAGAATCAACAAATTCATTTTTAGACATTTCAGAACCTGAAACTACAAAGGAAAACCTATACTGTAAGTAGAATGAACCCATCATCTTGAGATGATAGAAATAGTCCATTAAAAGGGTATTCCACATAGTAGCATTTAATGGAAATATAGTGATAAGTTTTCATCTGGTTTGAAAAAAAAAAGACATTTATAGAATATATTTGACCTAAAGAAATAGCATTGCTACTAAGTAGATATAATAACTACACAAAGACAATGTCATTTTAATCCATGCTTTAAAAAAAATCAGTGTAATCATTTTGTGCTATTTCATATTTCTCATTTACATCTAAGTTTTTAAGCACCAGAAAAAAGACATATTTTAAAATTAATATTTACTAATAGGTATAATGTTATGATCTGCAGCATAAAGAAATTCTACTAATACCATAATAGTCATTTGTTCAAATTCATCTAAAGTCGAAATTGAGGGCATTACAGAAAAACAAAAACAAAAACAAAAAAAACAACAACTGTGTGTAAGACCCAACTTCAGATACAATGATTAGATAGAAGATGAGAAAGAAACAGTGGTTTTAGATTATAAAAATTATAGCTTCCCAAGGCATAGATGATGTACAAGGTTCCATTCAGATCCACTTATAGGGCCAGCTATCCAAAACCATAAAAGCCATGGTCGATGTCCTACATGAGATACTCAGTACTGCTGCAATGAGCCCATTAGAATACTGACTGAGACATTACATGAAAGTTGGGTTCCTGGACAGGAAGTAACACATCCACTACGGACACATCATTACCCAGTGTGGTCCATGTAGGTTCAGGGCTCTTAGAAAGTTTAGAAGTAGTTGTTCCAGGACTTTTGGTTCTTCCTGGTGATGAAAAGGGAAAGAGATATTACGATATCCTAGAGACAATAAAAAGATGTCCTCCAGAGAAGAACTGAATGGCTTGTTAAAATCCTGCCACAGTTAGTAGTCAGTGCTTATAAAGTATGCAGTGAGTAAAAGTTTTGGAAAAGAATTTTCAAACTCAATCAAAATAATATAGACTATAATAAAACCACTGTACTTATATTACAATGGACTAAGCAAACCCAGTTGTTGATTATGATTCTGAGTGTATTATTTGACAATGAAGAGAATCACCTCCAGGCTATGCCTCAAAATAATCTTGTTCCCTTCTCCTTTTTCCTTTGTCCAAATCCTACACCGATTCTGAGGCTTGCATCCTTAACTCTTGCTTTCTTTTTCTGACCTTCTACATGAATATTAGCCTCACAAGTAGATTACATGATCTTATGTTGTTCTCTCCTTGTTTATGATACACTAGTAGCCTGCACACGAACCTGTGCATGAGTAGCTTGCTGCCACTTGCCTCAGCTGGCCACCTGCCCACCACTCCTGGTAGTTCTCTGTTGCTTATAGCTTGCTGCCCCACCCTCCTGGAGCTTCTGTCCCTTCCCCCCCAAGCTTGCTGCCCTGCCTCCTCCTGTAGCTTTTCGCCACCGCCACCCACTTGTAGTTTGCTGCCCCACCCTCCTGCAGATCCATAATCTGGTAGTTACAGAGTTGGTTGTTACGTCTCAAGGCATAATGGATAACTGGCATATTCCTCTCTTGTTATATAGGATTATCTTTATAATAACATAAGCAATTGGAAAACTGGGATCGTGTTCTTTCCATCTCAGACATTGCCCTAGTGAAAAACTGAAAGCATAATAGGCACCAAAACCCAAGAACAGTCACCTTATAAATACTTAAATAAAGATGGCATACCAAGAAAAAGAATTATACTATACTGGACTCCCAGTGCATGAAATTTGTGCATGAGGAGGGGGGATATGGGGGATGGGGGGAGGAATGTCCCTCAACCTAGCCTTTACCCTCTCCAATCCAGGATATCCTTCTCACAAGGCTCCTAACCATACCCTGCCTGCCTGATTGCCCCTAACTACCTCTGCCTGCCAGCCAGATTGCCCCCTAATTGCTCCCCTGCCAGCCTGATAGCCCCCAACTGCCCTCCCATGCTGGCCTGATCATTCCCAACTGGCCTCTCCTGTTAGCCTGATAGCCCTCTAACTGCCCTCCCCTGCCAGCCTGATCACCCCTAACAACCTCTGCCTTGGCCTCTGCCACTGTGGCTTTGTCTGGAAGGAAGTTGGACATCTAGAAGATATTAGGTTGACCCAGTCTAATTAGTATATTACCCTTTTATTAGTATAGATATCTCACTCTATCATGTTGTGATAGCAAGACTTGTGTCTAGATTTTTACCAAAATTCACATGCAAGAACATCACTTACATAATTTTTAATAAAAGTTTATCAGAAATTAATGACTTTTATTATTCATTTTCATTAATTTTTCATCTTCAGTTAACTTCAAATTTTGTAAAGAAACTTTAACCCATGGAATCATGTCACTTATTTTATGGCAAAGAGATGGACATTATCTATTTGAAATTAAATATCCTGAAAGTTTAAAGAGACATTTGTTTACCAGGCTTGGTTCTTGGTGGTTTGGGCCTGCGGTGTCTTGTAGATGTAGTTTGCAGGGGAGCTGAAAGAAGATTTAAAATGGCTTCCATAAATGATTTTCTTCGGGGGTGGATCAGGCTGGAAGTGCAAACTTGTAAACTTCTTGAGTGCAAGAACTGCTTTATGTTTCTTTGTGTCCCTGGAATGCCCAACACTGTGCTTTACTCACAGCAGGTGCTCAATAAAAGTGCTGATTGGGCCAAAGGAATTAATTTTCTATGTGAGAACTCTTCAATTAAATGTACTGCAAAGTGAGCACCTTTGAAGAATTTGAGAATACATGGTAAAGCTTAAGAACTCAAAAGATGAGTTACCAAACAGCTGGGGAGAAACACAAATAAACTATTTGGGTTTTAGAGAATAGAAAGTTCAGGACTTCCTTAATTCTGTAGCATTTTACGAATCTCACCAGGAACTAATGAACTTCATTATTCCATTAATTTAAAAAATGTAGGCTGTGTTACCTTTCTTTTGCCCGTTTTTCTTCATCATGCTCAGGACTGCAGAGCTCTCTTGGGGCTCTTTATACTTGGACTATTTTGAGAAAAATTCTCTGACCTCATGGTATGTGAGTGTGCTAATTAGGAGGGAATATATTTAAAATAATTATCATCTATAATACTGCTGCTATTTTCTGGTTGGAGAATTTGAAAGTATAGCCCAAAAAATAATAATTCTTCATAATATCTACACAACTTCATGGCAGGGAATGAAGAGAAGTGTTTACCACTGAAAATATTCTGAAAGGAGCAACATGACTGATTTTTTTGGGGGTCAATTGACCTGTTCTTTGAAAGTAAACAACTATACAAATGTCATTAGTTACCAGGTGTTGTAGGTTGCATTTCAGGGCTGGTAATGATTTCCAGTTTTTGAGGAATAAATGGCGTTTCACTTGGAGCTGAAAATACAAACACCCCATCCCACCAAATAGTTCCAGTTAAAATGAGGAATTTTAGGAGTTTTTCACATGCTTTTAGCAGATGTTACAAAGCACATGCTACAGTACACAATTAAGGATGGAAATGCAGGTAGTCTTCAAAGCTGATGAATGAAATAACAATGTAAAGTCAGGGGAAGGTTGGGGTGATAATTGTTCAGTAGCTGACTCCAGGCAGACTCAATGCATGAAAGAGGGGTGATACAGGCCACAAACACATGAGATGGGTGAGATGGATGATGAGAGTATCCATGCAGTTTTCAAAAACTTTTCATTCCTTTAGGATGGAAAAATATCATCTATTACAGTACAAAGAGAAAAAGAGCCCAAAATGGAACATGAGATGCCTGCATCACAGGGGAAAAAAAAGTATATATATATTCAGAAATAGGAAAGAAATAAATGATTAGATGTGATGGAAAGAAATGGTCATTTGGAAGGAAGGCATTCACATGGATTTTTCTCTTGATGGAAAACAAAGCACGATTTTTCTGTTAAAAACATTACCCAGTGTTGCCCTTGGCTGTTCAAGAGTTCTAGAAGTTTTAGGTGGGACAGAATCCAGAAATGGATCCCTTGTCGCTGTTGGAATAAATGTCAACATTTACAAAAGCAGTAGAAGGCCTAAGGAATAAAATACAAATTCAAGAGTAATAAATTTTGCCCCATATAGGAAAAAACATAAAGAACACTTGAGAGATTTCTGACCAACATTTTTAAATGAGCGATTCATTAGAATTTAAATGAGCTCACTTTAAAGAACATATGTACTTTAAACATCAGAAAGCATGATAAAAGTGTCTCATATATTCAACTTATTTTCAACAGACTTTGCTGGCTTCTTCTCTCTCTTTCTTAACTACTAATTGGACCCACCTTTAGCATTCTATTTCACTTTTTAAATTTTTCTGCTATTTAAATTTATTCACTTTTATTTATGACACAAATAATACTGAGATGAGGCTACACAGAGTAAGTCTCAGACATATATGCATGCCTGGCAGAGACCAGTATTACTCACTTTAAATGTTCTGCAGGACCTAGCTTAGTAGGTGCTTAATAAACACTTGCCAAGAGGAACTATTGGACTGAGTTAAATTTACTGTAGCTGCATCGGTAAGTGTATGCCAAAAATTAGACCTACCTGAACTGCTATCCTATATAATAAAAGGCTAATATGCAAATTGTCCCCTTGATCGGGAGTTCAACTAGGAGTTTGACCAAGGGCTGGGCCAGCAGCCAACTGCCAGCGAACCCTCCCCCTGACCAGCCTGGCCCCATAGGCCCCGATTGGGGTAGGCTGGAGTACACCACCCTGCCCCAATCATGCATGAATTCGTGCACCAGGCTTCTAGTAGATACATGAATAGCATAATTGCCCCATAGCACTATTTCTCACCTCAGCATTATTGACATTTAGGGCTGGGTGATTCTTTGTTGTAGGGGCCTGTTCTTTGCATTGTAGGGGTTTAGCAGCATCCCTCACCCCTACTCACTGGATGTGTCAGTAGCACCTCCTCCAGCTGTGACAAACAAAAAATGTCTCTAGACATTTCCAAATCCGCTGGGGATAGAGGAAAGCAAAATCACCCCATTGGAGAACCAATGCTCCAGAGAAAACTCTGTAGGATCCTAAAACTTTTTTAGAATGATTCTGAGCAACAAAGCAATAGGCCATTGCCTTACTTTGCCTCAGAAGCAACCAAACCTATCTGCATCTCCCACTTGTGGGAGCCTGTTTACCAATGGAGGTAAACAAGTCATCACTCAGTGGGAGGAGAGGGTAACATCGTCTCCCTGACATGGACTGCCATTTCTTTTGCTGCAGAGCTCTGGAGAGTGCACTATTTCATCAGCAGTATTGTCAGAACACATGGAATCTGAGGAAAGAATTGAGAGGTTGGGTACCTGTGTGGGGCTCTGATATTTCAGGCTCATCTGGCGTCATAGGACTTGAGAAAACATCATAAGCTGCTTTCAAGGAAAAGGTAAAAAAAAGAGATAATGTTAGTTTTGACTGAAAAGATTTCATGACATATTTTAATAATTGTCATGTCACTACAGTGTCAGCAGTCACTAACATTTGCCTGTAGTCCCTCTTGCCCTGAACTAAAGGTCTCTGTGCAGCGAGCCTGGACACCAGCCTATGGGGTGGTGTGCGCATAGTGCTGTGTATTTACAGTAAAGTGGTGCCAGCTCTAAATCAAGGAGCTTCCAAGAATATAAATGTAAACGAAGTCAGATGGGAGAGATTTCCAAAGAAGGAAACAACGTTCACATAGAGACTCTTTGCACAAAGTCTACTGCTTCATCCTTCTGCTTAGTAAACATTTACATCATGCTACCTTAACGTTTGGACAGCACTTTACAATCTGCACAGCGCTGTTTCAGATATACGTTTATTTAACTGTCTTAACATCCCTGAGAAATAAGTGCGTTAGACTTTATCCCCACTTCATAGATAAAGGGATATTATCTCCATTTCCTAGACAATGTAGTGGAGAGTCACAGTGGTGATACATTTGCCAGTGGTCACACACGGGATTGTCCAGTTCAGCATATTTTTCACTGTATTTACAGGCCAGGAATGGCGGCGCTAAGACCCAGCACTCTGACCCTTGCACTACTGCTCCTGCCTCTTTGCCTGGAGGCAGCCTTCTTCCTCTGTTCCTCCATTAAGCTAGGAACCCCTCTATAATCGAGGTGGACTTAAAGATAACATTTATATTCTACAGGAAATAAAGAAAGCAGGGTGATCTTAAAAACAAAGGCTGGTTTTAAAACAAGGGTCATCTTCATGTTCACATAAGAGTTGAATCTATAAGCAAAAACAGGACCAAAATACAAATGTCCTCTCTTCTGCACCAAGAGCTGTCACAATAATAATGACTGGTGTACAGAAGCTTGAATTGTGTGGTAGACTTTCCTTGCCCCTTCCCAAAGGCTGTACAGATATAAACTAGAAGATGGGAGGGGGAAAGCTCATGGGGTTACTGGTCAATCAGTGACAGTGTAATGATTTGAACCACCGCTAGTTGACTCTATAAGGTAATATCAGACTCTGTGATACACTCTGATATTCGGATTGGACAGTTTATATTTACCACATACTAAATAGGCAGGAGATACATTTCAGCTTGTGAAAGTGAGTCTATTGCTTTACAAAATCTTAAAACACACACACACACACACACACACACACACACACACACACACATAAACAACTGGTAAGAACAACACTCAGAATATTATGAGTTAAAATGTGCAAACATTCTGAGTGTAATACATTATGTCATGATGTAAAGTTCTCTTTAGGTTAGCTACAACTTTAAAGGGTCAGAGGAGAAAGACTAATCTTTTAAAGGACAGAAAAGTTGGCTTATGCTGATCTTTGTCTTGCTTTAAGCCAATTTCATGGAACCATAAAAGACAGCTTTACCTACTACTAAATAAAGTAAGAAACCTTGACCAACTTGTATTTCACCCTCTCATACTGGGAAAGAAATTATGAATTAATAGCTTGACTTATTTATATTGTTACTTTTGAAATATACAACTGTCTTAGTTATCCTAAGTCCCACATTTTCCTTTTCTCTAGTAATACTGGCCCTCCTTTCTTATAATCTACAATTTTGTCCCATAGGTCGATGCTTATTCACCCTCTGTCTATTTCTTTTCCATACTTGCAATTTCCTTCTAGCCTGGCGTTTCCAATCCTGGCTGCCGCCTTCCTTGGCTTGTTCTCAGAAGGCTCTCCACTGGGGAGGAAGCCCCCTCCCATCATTCCTGGGCAACAGTGGCCCCCGTCTGGAAGTTCTCAATGGTCAAACCTCTTCCTTCCAAACATTTTCTCAAATATGCTCCAAGATGAAAACAACACATTTGCCAACAGACTTGGCCCTTCGTATTTCTATTTCTGGAGTTTTTGAGAATTGAGTAGTAAATAAGAGGAGTGCTAAAATCACACAAATACCATTTGGTGGAAGTTTTGCTTTGTGTGGGCTGCCTTGAGAAGCACACCACCACCTCAGCTCATTCAGGGGTTAAACATTTTTTTTTTTTTACTCTGAAGTAAGAGATGTCAGAGGAGAGGACAGTATTGAAATGGAGGTCCCTAAAAACCAACTGCTCTTGCTTTCATTACAAAACTCTTATATGTGTACTCCTATGTCAGAGTAAAATGCATGACAAGGTCAGACACTTCAGGTTTTTAAAAGGCTACACAACTGATAAATCGTTAAGAATTAGGGGTGAATCCTTCTATATTTTAGACACTCTGTTCTATCATGCATTATTGTGTAGAGGCAAATATCTTGCCACCAATGTTTACTTAGTGGGCGAAATGCTTCAACCATCTGGCATTAAGCACTATCTCTCACCTATAAATGAGACCAAAGGTTGGGGGAGAAATCTAATGTGAGTTTAATGAGTAGTTCAATTTAAATATTATAATGAACAATATTAGTTTCTTTCAGAATACAGTAATGACTTATGATCATAATAGCTAAATTCTACTCTTCTATTTTTCAGATAAGCCACACTACCATTTGCTCATAACTTCCTAAAACCAAATTGTTAATTGTGTTTTGTTATTTGTATGTTTTTACTGAAAAAACTGATTAGATGAAAATTCCATAATAAAATGTTCTGGAAACATATACCATGGCTACACTGACAAGGTATTTCCAATTGTCAAGAATTTATCAGTTTGTTTTATTCAAATAGCATGAATATGAATAACTATGTGAAAGACCGTCATTAGTAGGATAGAAATTGTGACTATCATGCTCATGTGCTCCAAGATTATTTCCCCAAAGCCTGATACAAAGCAGAGACTAAACAGAATTAAGATACAGATGCCCATTACAATGAACAAGTAACAATGAGTTTGAAAGTTGGGTAGATTATGCTCTTAGTACAGATGAATGAGAATAAGTGAACAGGACCTTTAATTATTCTATGATACACACACATGTGCATACAAATCTCATTCTAGACTACACAATCATGTGCCATGTGCTTTTGTGGCCATACCCTGCCATGGAAATAGAATCATAGGAACATATATGAAGAGGCAATGAGATATATGCACCCCTATGTTCCTAGAAACACACTTTACAATAGCTAAGACTTGGAAACAGCCTAAGTGTCCATCAGCAGATGAGTGGATTAGGAAACTGTGCTACATCTACACAATGGAATACTATGTTGCTAAAAAAAGAAAGAATTTTTGCCATTTGCAACAGCATGGATGGAACTGGAGAGAATTATGCTAAGCAAAATAAGCTAGTCAGAGAAAGATAAAGTATCACATGATCTCACTCATTTGTGGAATATAATGAACAACATAAACTGATGAATAAAAATAGAATCAGAATCATAGAAGCATCGAACAGACTGTCCAACCATAGAGGGAAGATGAAGGGTGAGGGGGTAAGAGATCAACCAAAGGACTTGTATGCATGCATATGAGCATACCAATAGATACCGACAGTAGGGGAGTGAGTGCATGGGCTGGGGGTGGGGGTGGCTGAGGTGAGGTCAATAGGGGAAAAAGAAGACTTATGTAATACTTTAAACAATAAAGATTTTTTTTAAAAAAAGGAGGCAATGGGAAAATACAACAGGATTATTTAAAAAACAAACAAATAGCTGATGAGAAAAACATTTATAAATACTGCACACAGAGTTATCATTATTTCAATAAAGAAATAATGCTTTTTCAATTCACAGGAAAATAAAATACCTTTCTGATTAATCCTGAAATTTGTGAAAATACGGTCTGAAAAAAAAAATTGCTCATGAAGTAAAGTCAAAGGCTGAAAAATCTTTAAGAGGCCACAGGAAATCTGTAAACCATCTACTACACGTGAATTCTGTTTTCCTGCCTTTGAAGCATCACCACCACCACTCATTCCAACTTTTTCTTCTCTCTAGGGCTTAATTAAGGTGGGTGGGCCAGAACTACAATAATCAACACCTGACCAGTGGGCAATAAGATGCAAATGTAGAGTTCAACCTCTTTTCAACCACCCTGAGCAAACTACCTGGGTCAAAATGTTCTATCCAGCATAGGACTCCTCAGGCACACTGACCAGTTCAACTTTCAAACCTTTAGGTAATTGAAGGAGCTTAAGTGCATTTAGCAATTTACTACAGCTATACAAAATACTGAAAGAATTAAACTTTGAAAATACTTGGTGATAAACTGTTAAAGGTAGCTCTCTTTAATGGAGTCTAATGAAAAGATTGAGGTCTACCATCCTCAGTTCTGAATATAAAAAGAAGCCCTAAAGATAATTATTTATTGTCCAAGGGGAAATAATTTTACCAGATGAAGTCACTGTCTTAGTCACAGTATAATTGGAGGAGAAAATCAGTTTGTCTGGACACTGTTGGGGAAGAACAGACAGGAGAATTTTCTAAAGATGAAAATAAACTCACTGAATCACCCTGGGATTATTATTATTTTTTTAATATTTTATTTGGGCTTTAAATTCCTCCTGGTACTACCCTGTTTCCCCCAAAATAAGACAGTGTCTTATATTAATTTTTGCTCCCAAAGATGCGCTAGGTCTTATTTTCAGAGGATGTCTTATTTTTCCATGAAGAAGAATACGGTATACATTTATTGTTAAATGAAAATAAAGAAAATTTATTACCTGTATACGGTACGGTAGTACGGTAGTTGTCAACACAAACCAGACAAACTGTGAATCAAGAATTTACTCATTTATTCAATGACAATCATGCCATCATCTTCTGGAACATCATCATAACAACCAAATGCCTGAATTTCCTGGTGAATTTCTTGTAACTCCATTTCTTTCAGAATCAGTAGACCAAATCTCTCACATTTAGCAATAGCATTCTGAGACAGAGCCTAGGGGGGCCTTATTTTCGGGGGATGCCTTATAGTTCACTCAGAAGGAAATCTGTAAGTAGGTCTTATTTTCGGGGAAACACGGTAAATA